GCATTGAGCTGATTTGTTGCTGAAAGTTACTGGAATGATAATATTTATTGTGGTCTAAGTAAATATAAGAAACACCAGAGCTGGATTCCTGAGCTCCTGTAGAATGGGGTAGAATGGGGTCCGGAAAACTGGATATATCTGTTAACACAGTGAGGACTAGGTTTTGGCTTATTCTTTCAGAACATTCTGTGGAATTCCCTTGACAAGAATATTCTTAGGGAAATTGAGAGATGTGCCATTAGAAGAAAAATTGTAGAGCACCACTGGAGTTAACACAGAACTTGGAATACAGGGCACAGGCTATCAAAGTCTCTGATTTTATATATTTAGAATTGTTTCTTATCCCTTTTGGGATTTTATTTTTTGGTTTGTTTTTTTTTGTGGTTTTGGCCATAGACATATGTTGCAGACAGGCCACACATTTGGTTGAAAGTCTTTTTAAGAACATCAGTACATTTGTCAAAAAAATGAACATTTTTCAATTTATAAGCTGTGAAAGAGAAGCCTTGTGTAACAGGTGAGGTTTAAACAGAACATAGTGCAGTTAATTTGACCTGGAGATGTCATAGCGTAGTGGGAGATGGTTGTCTGGATGTTACTGATGTTACTCTTTGGGAATAGGTCAGTGTATGTTCCAACACAAAGCTTTGGGTTTTGTCTTGCTTACAGTGCAGTTGTTCATGGCTGAGATGAGTACATAATTGTCTAACATTCACTGTTTAATGAGGCTAATGAAGATATAACATAAAGTATCTTTGCCCTTATATTGCTGCTGCTGCTTGCTTCTTAATATAGAAAAATGGGGCTGGGAAGACTCTTACATGCTCAAGGGGCGGTAAAATTGAATTCTGCATAGTGTACCAGGTACTTGAAGCTTCTTCGGTCAGCACTAATAGTATTTCTGAAGCAGGAAGACAGTTCCACCTTCTTGCTCTGCCATTTATTATTTCTCCTTGGCATACAGCTAGAGAACCATGAGTTAACTCAAGCTTGGTGTTACTGCATTTTTTATGTCAGGTCTACACCACTGTAGATGGTGTTTGGGAGACTTGTGTAAGTTGTTCACTGTAGTTGCAGTCACTTAGTAGTTCTCTTTGCTTGTTCCTTTTCTTTATTTATTTTTATTTCAAATACCACAAGAAAGAAGGGGATACCTCAATTTTTATTGTAAGATATGGGGGGAAAGAATTTTAATTCCCATCTCTGAAAGCATTAATTTTTAAAAATAGATAATTTATTAAATATATCCTGGCACAAATTTATGGTAATGACAGTAGCTTACAGTATCAGTTGTCAGGGAGCTAAACTGGCAACCATCAGCAGTTGGAATGCCAGTTTATATGCGGTTCAGTGAGTTCATAAGCCTGAAAAATGTCAGTATCCATTTCTGATCTGTAGTCTTCAATGTTACTTTTATAAATGGTGTGAAAACTCTGGGGCCTAGTGACAGTAGCATGGAGTGACAATCTAGTTCTTCATTTGTGTTCAATGGGTGAGCAATGTTTATCTTGGAGAAAATAATCTGTTAATTCCAGGAGAACTGTGTGGCTGTTCAAAGTCTGTTTTTTGCACATGAAACCCTACTGCAATGTACTTGCCACCCATAACACCAACATTCTTTAATGAGGAAGGTAGCAGAACAGTGAGTTTTCAGATAGGATTGTTGGGAAAGTAAGTGTTTCAGATAGTATCTTTGTAGACAAATATGTTGCTCTTTCCCTTCTGTCTACTTGTGTCAGTTTTACTTGCTTTGAGAAGTAATCCTTCTGGGCTAGAGAGATTTGGTTAGTGTCAGATATTCCCATGTAATAACCAGTCATCAATTGTACACAAACTTCGTAAGTTCTGCTGCTCTCACAAGGTGTGCTACAGGAATAGGTAGGGGAAAAAAGGCCTAAAAATCTTAAGACCTTTGACTTAGTTTTTTCAAGTCATTGTTCTTCCCTCATTTTCCTGAATTTTAGAAATCCGTTAGGAAACGGTAACCAATATACAGATTTTGGGTAGTAGGATGGAAGATGATACAGGAGGAACTTCATTTTTTGGCTTCATCAGTGGTTTTTTGGGGGCATCTTTTTTGGTTTAATACTTTTATAAAATTCTGTGTTAGTTGCCAGTACATGTTGGCAATAACCTCTGCCTTTCTGATGCTTGCTAGAAATAGGATTTGGAAAGGTCTCTTTCTTTACCATGTCATAAATAGGATTAATTTACATGAACGCCCAATTTCTAGCTCTTGTGACAGTCAGATGAATTAGGGGTTTGAAATTCTTCTTGTTCTTATTGCTTGAAAGGCAAACAGCTACAGTTCCACATTCTAAGGGAAAGTAATTTTGGTAGCAGAATTGAAGAAAACCAGATACATAGCAAATGCATTTAAGAACTAAATCTTTTTAATCCTCTTCTGTGAGCCCAGGTTCCTTATGCTTAGAGCTCAGTTTCCATTCTGGGTCTGAAGTTTTTGTATTTGTCTTGGGGTGATTTTATGATGATACTTTATTCCTTGATCATCTGTATTATGCCCGGAAATGTCTGCAGTATCTTTAAAATGAATGAGGGGACAGGGCTAGAGCCTGGGAACACTAAGCATGGACTCCGTTCAGTCTCTCTCTCTCTCTCTCTCTCTCTCTCCAGTGTATTCTGGACAGTTGGGTGGACCGGGGACATTGCATTGTTCTTTTGTTGGATTAGGTTTTTAGGGTTTTTTTGCTGGTTTGAAGCAAGAAGGCCCTTCCCTCCCCTTCCCTCCCCTTCCCTTCCCTTCCCGGAACTTCCCTTCCCTTCCCTTCCCTTCCCGGAACTTCCCTTCCCTTCCCGGAACTTCCCTTCCCTTCCCGGAACTTCCCTTCCCTTCCCGGAACTTCCCTTCCCTTCCCTTCCCTTCCCTTCCCTTCCCGGAACTTCCCTTCCCTTCCCTTCCCGGAACTTCCCTTCCCTTCCCGGAACTTCCCTTCCCCTAGCCTGGAGGTTGTACTGGGAATCCTCTCAGCTGCCTTTTTGGCTTTTTTTCCCTTGAACTGTTTTTAGCTTGACATGTTTTTCCTTTTGGCCTGTCTGGGGAGCCAGCAGGACCACCCTGAACCTGAGAGCTTAGAAGAGCGGAACCAAAATGAGAAAGGACATTAAAATCCACCAACTTTGGCTGCTGCAAGGAAGAGACCCATGCCAGAAATTCAACAGTTTTCCCATCTTCTCTGCTCCAGGCTGCCATGTGATCTTCTCTTCCCCTTCACAGAGGAAAAAGGGATCAACTGCCATTTTATTCTGGGACACACAATCAGCCTCTGTATTTTTTTCCCTGGGTGTTTTTCTGAGCTTTTTTGTTCTGTCTCTTGGTGGGTGCCTGGGTGTGTGGAGGATAGGTTTCTGGGAATTCGTTTTTAGCATTTATTCAGTACTTTTCTATGCCTTAGGGCACCCCAATGCCTTTTTTATTTGTTTGCTTGTTTTTAATTTGGTTCTTTTGTTGTTGTTAGTAAGTGGGTCTTTTGAGGTTTTTTCACTGGTATCAATTTCTCTCCTTGGCAGAAGAAAAGGGAGTTCTTGAAGGACTTTCTCTCTTTAGAGGAAATGCTCATTCCAGGACATTTTCTCCTGAAACTTGTCTGCAAAACTGAGACAGCATTGTTCACCCACACCTAGCCTGTGAATTAGGACAGATTCTTTCTGGCCAGCTTTTGCTTTGCTTGCCATCCCCCTTCATGTTTGACCACTAGTGGGAATTTACTATTGCTTCACTTAGTTCATAGGACAGCCAAAGTAATTTTCACTGATATTTAAAAACAAATTCAGTTCTGCTGAGACATCACTATGGAATGGCACTTACGCAATGCTGTACAGGTGAACAACCTAACCCATTGGATCAGATGAGCTTCTAAACTGCTTGTAAAGTAACTGCTTGTTAATTTTGCAAGTAGTAGTGATGCATTATAAATAATCTTATAAAGCCATATGCATCTCACAGCATCAGTTACCTTGTTAAAATAACAGATACCTAATCTGTGGGTCTGTTTCTTTATATAAGTTATTTTGCCAATATTTTATTTTCACATGACGGGTTAAAAGGGTATAATGTGTATTCACTGCTACGTTAGTGGTTAGAAGTCCTTTTGTCAGAAGGCAGTGCTAGTGTCCATCTCGGTGATTTTTAATTTTTCACAGTGAAAATAAGGCAGCATTTTGCTGCAAGCTGTCGCATTCTGTTTGCACAGAAAAGGTTCACTTGAGTTTTAAGACTAGGCTTTTTTTTAAATAGTCCTAATGTCAGGTTTATGTTTTTCACTAGCACAGCAGTAGCAGACAGAGAGTAGTCTGTTTGCCATTGTCATTTGATCACAAAATTTCTGTGGAAAAAACAGCCAATGCCATGGATAGTGAGTTAAATATTGTAAATATTGGAGAATAGTTTTGTTGTGTGTTTCATGTAAAATATATACTTTCCATTTAAGCCTTCTGAAGTTAGGAAAAAAAATGCATTTGCCAGCTTTTACTTCTGTGAGTTATATTTTCTGTTTCTAAAATTTATGCATCAGCAGTTTGATAGTGATGTTGAAACTGTATGCTCTAAACATACATCTAAAAGTGTAGACTGTGTGTGATGCACACTGTTTTTTTTCTGATGCTTTGCTCAGAGGTACATAATTGTCCAAACACTTTTTCTAAGTAGAAAGAATTTATTTTATCTGCCCTTATCAAGTGTGTCTTTTTTGTTTTGTTTTGGTTTTTTGTCTATTTCTTGTAGGTTAAAAATCTACAATACCATCTCAGGGAAGCAGCCGTGCACTGTGAGTTTCTTGGAGCTGCAACTCTGATTAGTAATGACCAGATGATAACGAGTTAAACAGTGCCTGGTAAATATCGTAATCACAGTGGCAACTCTGCACAAGCAACATCAAAGAGCAGGGGACTTTGGTGTTCCCGTGTCAGTAGGAAACATGCCCAGGATCTCAGCTGCCAGCATGCCTGCAATTTTTACATAGATTTCTATAGGTCTTGTAACCATGTCTGTTAATGCAACAGAAAATGATCCTCCCAGATTCTTTGTGGGTGGAGAAGATGGAGAAGGATTATTGGATTCAGCCCGATCTACAGATTATGAACACTTCTATGACCATGGGGAAGAAGAGGAGGAAGAGTATGATTCTGTAAGTACTGTAGGGGCATTTGTTTACTATTCTTTGTTCTCAAGCATTATTTTTGATTTCAAATTTTTTGTCAAAAATTGTTTATAAAAAATACTTTTTCAAAATATTTTTCAGTATTTAATTATTTTTCAAAAATGGCATTAGCTCACATAAGTCTAGTACTGAAATGGTGTTCTAAATTGAGAAATTGTTCATAGTCAGATAATGATGTGTCAGTAATGTTTGGAAAAGAAGAATACTGAAAAATTAAGTATACCTTGAACTGTGAAAGAGATGTGCTTTATTTTACAGAGTTTCAGGGCAACTGAGGTTGATGTGCATGATTTGGAGCCTTGATTTGGATTCTGGAAATAAACCTCATGGTGGCATAAGCCTCTGTTTCATTTATTTGGATAGTTGGAAGCAAAATAAATTATTGAGAATTTTTCCTTGGCTGCTGTCAACTGCTTCAGAGTTAACTTTTGATTTTTTTTTTTCCTTCCTTGTCTTGGTGTATTGAAAGAGCATACAAAGTTCATCTTAATTATACTTTAGTTTATTGTATCTGTAAAGTGTTCTGAATTGTATTTTGTGCACCGAGCTCACCAATTTTTAGCTTGCTTAAGACAAACTCTTAATGGTATTATGCATGACTCTTTGTGTCTTTTTTTTAACTCTTTGTTGTTTGTTCTTTTTGCAACATTCATTTTCTGGAATAGATTAAATTTTCACTAATTGTGAATTAGTCTACAAAGTTTAAATGCAAGACAGCATTGCTAAAGTACTTCCCATGATTAAAAGTAACTGGAAATGCAGAGTAGCAGTGCAAAATTAGCAGCTCAGGTAGCTCAATTCAGTGAGTCTGTTTTGGCAAGGGAAGTTAGCTGGCTAGGTTTTCAAACAGCAGTAAGTTGAATTGAAGGATTGCTCTGTGGGTTTTTTGTTTGTTTCCTTTATAAAGCAGAGTAGGTTGGCCGTTACCTTTAGAATTATCACTGATGGAAAAAAATTATTGAAAGTTTAACATGAAAGTAAACATAGAGTATACAAAAAAAGTGAAACTGTTTATGCACTAAATAGTTGAGAAATTCAGAAAAGTAGTTTCTTGTTTTCTGATTTTCCTTTTCATAATTCACTTGTAATATTAGGTGATGAGAGGCCTTGTGACTGTTAATTATGTGGGAATCCAAAAAATCAGAGGGTTTTGGGAAAGCTGCAAAAGGCAGGCCTCAGAGACAGCAGAACTGTGATTAAGCAGTACCCATAAGATTTGTCAGCAGAAAAATTATGTAAGAAGTAGAAAAATAAGGACAAATAGAGCAATGGTGTGTGTATTAATGCTTGTCTAGAATAACTCCCTAAGCTGAAGAAAAGTATATCTAGTGATATATTAAGAAGTTCTAAGTTTAATAATGGAGCTCTGTGCATTGTGTTTTAAGGCTTACAAATGAGTATTGTATTTGAAATAAGCAAACATTGTTTTAACCAAAAGTATGTGTGCTTAGAGTTGTTAGATAAAACTACTGTCAATATGCTTTTGCTTTGTGTAATTAGTCAAAAAACTTATAAGTTGTAACATTAAGTTCTTAGTCTGCTACCTAAGATGTGAGCTGCTGGCATCTTCCCATTGTCATAACCATGTAATGAGACTAATGCTGGAAAATAAAACAGCTCAAGATGCGTTGCTCAGCAGTCCCGTCCTGTTCGTGATTTGTACATAGCTCCTGGACAGCAATAAATTAGGCATAAAAAAAAGACATAATTGACAAATCAATTACTAGTTAATTCCAGAGTAAGCCATAAATATGATTTTGTAGATTTGAAACTCCTGACTTACCCTTTGATCGTGTCTGTTTGTTCCTGGTAACAATACCCGAAAATATAATATAGAGCTGTTAAACAGTTTCATTCTTGAGGCATTTTTTGTGAGGATGCAGTGTGATATGCTGCTATGCTGCATTTTGTTATCTGGTAACAATTTATCTGACTAAAAACTAAATTAATTGTAGCATGTGAATTTCAAGAGAAAATACCTGCTCTAGTATTGTGCTGCTAAAACCCTGTTGTGTTTTGAGAACACATAAAAATTACTTTTCCCTTCCCCCTACCTCCTTTCCAGCCACCAGAAAGACAAATTGCAGTTGGGATATGTTCAATGGCTAAGAAATCAAAGTCCAAACCAATGAAAGAAATTCTTGAACGCCTCTCCATGTTTAAGTATATAACTGTGGTGATATTTGAAGAGGATGTTATTTTGAACGAGCCAGTAGAAAATTGGCCTTTATGTGACTGTCTCATTTCTTTTCACTCTAAAGGTAAATCTTGTAATAATACCATAAATACTTGTGATCTAAAATTATTTTATCTAAAATCTAAATTATTTAAGCTCTTTGAAAGTCCTCTTAGTTTTTTTGTCAAAGTTTTGTTGGATTTTCGTAGGAAGTGAATCTTTTTTCTTCTTTAATATAATACAACTGACTTCTAAAGTGCAAGATTTTTAAAAGATACTGTTTACATTGCTTGCGAAAGTGTTGTCTGACACAATATAAGAATAGCTGTCCCACTGGTTAATACGTTTGAAGCCAGTGGAAATAGTGATGTAATGCAAGGTTCCAACCTATTTAACTGGTAATGTGTCTTGTAATTTTAATTTGTTTTTCTTAATAAACCTTTTAGGGTTTCCACTGGACAAAGCAGTAGCTTATGCAAAACTCAGGAATCCTTTCATAATCAATGACCTGAATATGCAGTATCACATACAAGACAGGTAAATAACACTAATCACCTTCTAAAGCAAGCCATTTTTTTGAGACTATAAAAATTTGTTGTTATTGAATAGCAACAGTTCCAGTGTATTGTCCCTGCCCATGGTGGAGGGTTTGGAATTAGATGATTTTTAACATCTCTTCTAATTCAAACCATCCCATGATTCCATAATTGTACAGTACTTTAAATAAAATTACTGTGAATTTTACACTTTATTAATGTATGCATACTGTTCTGGAATGTGTCTTCAGGTGTGTTTTTTTCTTTAGTTGTTTTTGCATTGATGTATCTGAAGATTTACCAAGTTAGAAATTTGCTGATACATTTTTCCAAAGCTTAGCAAATAAAAAAAGTTTAAACTCTTAAAATACATATAGGAGAGGTATGTATAGCAGCTGTACAAGTTTAGATAATTGTAGAATTAATGTGATTTACAGTATTTTTTTTCTGTAAGGATGATACTTAACAGAAGTTGTTGGTACTCAAAGGCTGTGTGGTTATTGAAAGCAAATTTTCTTTTGGAGCTGAGATCATGCATAGCAAACATTAATAAAACAACAGTAAGCAACATAGATGAACACTGAAACCTTCTCAACAGTGAGCAGACTTGCTATTTCGGATGCCTTCAATTCAGTTCTGTATAAAGTTGAACAGTTGAAAATCCCCTTTAATTGTGTGCAGATGTCTGATGCACTGCCAGATAGGAAAGGACTGGCATTGCAAAATGCTTTTTTATTGATGTTGAAGAGATCACTGCAAAGGTACAGCTGTGTCGGTGACCTTTAAAGCATTATATTAGTAAATAGGGTATTATATATGTAACCTTACCCTGTGTGATTTGAAAAAAAAATTGTTTTTATTTTTCTCCTCCTTTACTTATAGATTGTAAAATGCAAATATTTGCAGGATTTGCTGGCTCATTTCTTCATGTTATTTTCTTCTAGAAGAGAAGTCTATGGTATTCTTAAAGCTGAAGGAATTTTACTTCCTCGCTATGCAGTTTTGAACCGTGATCCAAACAATCCCCAAGGTAAAAAGAACAGAGAGAAAATACCAACCATTAGTATCTCAGTGTTTCCACTGGAGAACAATATGGACATAATGAATAGCTAAATATCACTGGCTAGACAATTAATTTTTGCATTCAGTTTGATTTCTATGCCGGCATTTAAAGTGTTGTTGTGGATTGACCTCTACTGGCTATGGGATGCAGTATGTGAAAAAAAACCAAAGAGATTGAGGCTGTGTAAGCACTGTTCAGAATTAACAAAAACATCAAGACTTTTTTTGTCACAAGTTCAAAATATAGCACCATATCAGCTGCTGTGAATAAAATGAACTCCATCCTAGCCAAAGGCAGTGCAAGTATGGAACTGAGAAGTATGATTCTGACACCATACATCTTACAGACATAATAGAATAGCTAGAATATAAGGGGCTCCTTACTCAAACTGAGCTTCTAATTGTGTCACTAAACAGAGCAGCATTCAGGATCTAATATTAACCACAATTATTAGTAATTTTCCTTTAGAAAGTGATATTGACAGAAACAAGTCAGGCTATTGAATTTTCCTCTTCTGAGTATAAGCAGCCATATATTTGAAGTCTGTTCTAGATATGCCTGCAGATGCTGTACTGTGACTATAAATTGGAATTAATTTTTTGTGTACCTCCAAAAAACTGAAACTTCTTCTACTAAAATGAAGACTTTAAGCAACAGTAAGAGATTGCAATGACAGATCAAAGGAATTTTGCATTAAAACGTCTGTGTGAAAAAAGGACACTTTTATGCTTCAAAAGTGAAATTAAAGCTGCTGCTTGCAGTTAACCAGTATTGAATACCAAATTCCTGATAGCAGAGGACCTAATTTTATGTTCAGGGGCATCTATCACACAGTATGAGACAGTTCTAACCCTGTGGCATCTGACACCACACTGTGTGTACTGTTCATCTGCCAGCTCCCTGATATTTTAGAGAAAGGCACTGAAAAAAAAAAACAACAAATAGCACTTTCCTCTCTTCAAAACACTTCAAATATACCATCTTATGCACCTGCAGGAGACAATTTCCTATCTGATAGTGAGGGAATCATCAGTAATTCCAGAACATAGTATTTAAATAACTTAATATAGACATGGTACAGCAAAAATATACTGCATGTGATCATCAGTCATTGTGCAGTCAGTAAAAATCAGAGAAACAAAGATGTAATAGAATATTATTATTTCAACCTGCAAATTATTGTAGATCTCTTCATAACTGTATGCATTAGTATACTGTTACAGCTCTATTCTTTGCACTGTTCTTCAGAATGCAACTTGATTGAAGGAGAAGATCATGTGGAAGTGAATGGAGAAATCTTCCAGAAGCCCTTTGTAGAAAAGCCAGTTAGTGCTGAAGACCACAATGTTTACATTTATTATCCAACATCTGCTGGGGGTGGAAGCCAGAGGCTCTTTCGAAAGGTGAGGTTGTGGTGCTAAAGCTATTGAAAAGCTTTAGGTGTCTAATAGGATTGCAGAGTAATTCTGTCATGTCCTGCTTGCTTAGGAATAGTGGCAGATCAGAGAAATTTCAGGAGAACACACAGATTGAATGAAGGCCTATGTTTCTTGCAGTACATTGTTAGCTACTGCAGATTCTTAGCACACACCATGAATGTACTTCTAGAATCTTAGAAAAATCTTTTGGCAATGGTCAAAAATTTGCTTCATTTGGTACATGAAGTTTTTTCTCAGCACAAGTGTGTTATTTTAGGTAGTTTCGAAGTTTCTCAAGCAGTATTCTTTGAGTTTTTTAATGGAAAAATACATCTTTCAGATTGGCAGTAGAAGCAGTGTTTATTCTCCTGAAAGCAGTGTGAGGAAAACAGGCTCCTATATCTATGAGGAATTCATGCCTACAGATGGAACTGATGTGAAGGTATGACAACTGCGCATTCTTATTTATATTTAGAATGATCAACTGCTCAAAGAGCTTGTCAGTTTTAAATCTCGGTCAAGGATTAATTTGAATTGCGTTTTACTACAGTTCATAAGTAAAAAATGCAATTTTGATTCTAGCTAAACATAGTACTTGTAGTGTAGAGTAGCTGTGCTTGCATTGTTAGAATCAAGTGCTGGAGGCTTGCTACCAATATATTGTCTTTCTTTTTCTGTGTTGTATTAGTGCCAGAACAGCATCTTCTTTCCCATGCTAACAGGTGATGCCTAGTTATTTTATCTGAAGGTTAAAGATTACAAAGAAATCTAACAGAAGTAGATCTTAGTATGCTAATTAATAAGCAAAAGTTTCTTGCTAAAATTTTATGATAGAGTCAAAGAAAATAACTTTTGTGGACCATATCTGTAATAATTTTCATTCTTTTGTTCATTTAGGTTTTTAACAGAGGTATTAGGTAGAGAATGCTAAAACAGAGTAATAACAAAGTAGGTGTTAAACTACTTGTGAAGATTACTTCCTTTCCCTTTCTCTTCATTTTGGCTATTTTAAACCCATTTCAAAACTTGTGGAACCAATGTTTTACAATATGCATAACAGATCACCATATTTAGACAAAAAAAGTGCAGGTGTAGAGAGTGTGAGGTCTAATCCAAAAAGCCCTTTTATTAACTGCAGTCAACTTCTTGATATCACTTGATGGTGCATGCGGGGAATATTCTTCTCTTGTTCTCAGAAAAATGTCCTCTTCTGTGTGCTCTTCTGAAGGTTATTCTATGCAAGAGTTTGCAACAGATTAATTTGTGTTTACAGATGTTTGTGTAAGAGCTTTAGAAACTTTTTGCAAAGATTCTTGCAACCAGAAGAGATGCAAATGGCTTTATGATTAGGGACTATTTTGGCTAGTTGCCATGTAGTCATCAAGCAGCAGTAGACTTTTAATACTCCAAATAAGTAGTGGATTTTTTAACAAGACTATCAACATTCTATTAGGCAGTTTCACTAAACTTACCCTCTTACCTGAATTCACTGTATTGGCACTCATCTGCTTTAGCTGAATACTTTTTTAATCAATGCTTGGAGTTTGTTTTTTAATTAAAGAAACTGTAGCCTGTTTTAGAGAGCTGCTGACAAATCTCTTCTAGCATATGCCCCAAACCCTTCAGTGAGCATCAAAACTGCAGTAGAGATAACACAATTGTTCTCTCAAGCTCCTGCTTGGAGTTATTCTCTTAATTTAAAAAGTATGTCTGCATTTTAGACAGGACTAAACAAGGCAAGGATCTGCCCAGCTTTAAGGTTGTCATCTTAAAGCTGGGCAGATCCTTGTTTTGTTTAGTCCTGTCTAAAATGTAAATGTGCTTTTTAAATTAAGAAAATAACTTAATCCTGCAGCCAGATTTCCATAAGTAAACTGAACTACTTCTCAAGTTAACCTGTTTTCCAGGTTCTGCAGATGCTTTGGAGAAGAAAACTTTTACATCTTTGTACCATCATAACTGAGAAATTCATTTTTATTAATTGAGTTTTTATAATGACTCTTTTTCTTGTTTTATCCCAGGCTGTCAATAAATGATGTGTGTTCTCTGAAGGCAGAGAATGCCACTGATGAAGATACTTCAGTGTGACCTTTTCAATGATGGAAGCAGCTAGTATCTTTTGATGTTGTTTTCATGTTTGAGTTATATGCATACATTTTGCAAATTTATGCAACATCATTTAAATACCCTGGATCAAGACCTCCTGTTTTTCAATACAGGTGTACACAGTAGGTCCAGACTATGCTCATGCTGAGGCCCGGAAGTCTCCAGCTCTGGATGGCAAAGTAGAACGAGACAGCGAAGGAAAAGAAGTGAGATATCCAGTCATCCTGAATGCAAGAGAGAAGTTAATTGCTTGGAAAGTATGCCTTGCCTTTAAGGTACGTTGATTGCTTTCCTATCGCATCAAACATTTAGTGTTAATTGTTTGTTACATGCAATTTCCATAGGGTTTTAGTGCATGAGCCAGCAGTGGTAATTAGTGCAGAATTCCTCGGAAGGTGGAAAGTTAAACTTCCATATGACATCTTTTCTTAATCAAGAAGGATTTTTCCTTTAATGTATTGAAAAGTTCTGGATAAATTGCTTGCGTTGCATTAGTTCCCTAAATTTACATGTTGCTAATGTGCTTTGCTAGCCAACAGTTGTATCTATTTTGTGTATAATATTTTCACACATTTTTATAATAGTTTCTAAGTTAGCAAAACACAGTTTCACTCAAGTTTTTGTAACTTCTGTTACATAGTATTTTCATCAGGTACAGATTTATTGTTAATATGGTACTTATATGATTAAGTACTACTTGAATAAATTGGTATTAATTTCATCGTTTCGACTTTTGTATAATTTTAAGATTGCTGTATAGTTACAAGGATTCTTTTGTTCAAAATGTCATTCGGTCTCTTACCCTCCTTTCGCCTCTTTTATAAGAAGGCTTTCAGTCTGTCTCCTTTATCTGTATGTGACTGTGATGGCATTCTGTAGGGTGTGGGCCTCTATCACAGAGGAGCTTTGAGATCTTAAAAAGTAATCTGTTGAAATAGCTTCCAATATCCTCTACTAATGATGTCAATGGTATGTTAATATCAAAACTATCTTGTAAAATTTTAACAAAAAATGGTTGTTCAATTTTCTTGAACTGCCATCTTAAAAACTATATGTAGTGGAAAACGACTGTCAGAAAGGGAGACTTGTAGGCCCATAGTTGCTGTAAGTCTTGAAGTTTGTCCTTCTGTGAACTTGACCTTTAATACTAATACTCTTAGGAATATGCAGGAAACATAAAATCAAGTTGGGGATAGAAAGTTAAAAACAGGAAGATGTTTGCATGATGTGGGTGAACCTAACATGGAACTGACATAAGGTAGTAAGTGTAAAGTGTGACATGTTTTGGTCATGTTTTCCAGTGAATACCTGATTAAAATACAAAATTTTTTAGAATAAGCAATCCTAAATCACTTGAACTTTCATTCTTTAAAACAGCAAACAGTTTGTGGCTTTGATTTGCTGCGTGCTAATGGACAGTCCTATGTCTGTGATGTGAATGGCTTCAGTTTTGTGAAAAACTCCATGAAATACTATGATGATTGTGCTAAGATATTGGGGTAAGAGTTTACTGATTTATTTCAGTTTTGCTTATTAACTCCCTTGCATATTATTGTAGTGTATGTACTGCCAAATTTCTTATTATTTACTTATTACTATGAATTATTTCTTATTACTATTAATAATATTTCTCATTAGTATTAATTATGACTTATTTATTAAAATTAAATAGAACATTAAAAGTCATTAACATAGACAATTTAAAAATCCTTAAAGAAAATCCTAAGTCAATTAAAAAATACTAACTAAATTCCTTATTCCTAAAATTATCCCAAACATCTGAGTTTTTAAAAGTGCTTATAGCTAACTGAATAAGTATTTTGAAATCAAGATTAAGTTCTTAAAGGTAGCTGAGATCTTTTCAAGTTGTGAAGCACTGCTGCATGGTTGTAATTGCTGCTGTTTAATGTGTCCAAATTGCTGTACATTGTCCTTGATCTGAAGCTGGTGTATACTTGTATATTCATGGGTTACATACCTGTAAAACCAACTGAAATAGAATCATGGCGCCTTCTATCGTACCATCTTATCTCTGCCGCTGGAGGCAAAAAAAAGTATAATGAGGTATCATAGAGAATTGGGTATAGAACTCTATACAAAAGAGTCCTCAAAGTAGGCTAAAACACATTGTGACTGGCTTTATAGTAAGATTACACTGATGAGATACAGCCAGAATTTTGCGCAATCTAATGGTCTGGGATCTTACTATTTGAAGGATTTTGCAAATTTTTTCAAGATTTTTAGCAATTATATTTTGGCTTATTCTTCTTTAAGATGGACCTTTTTTTCCCATCCACGTTACTGCTTCTTATGTAGCTATTAGTCTGAAGTTCAGTGTATTTTGATGAAATACTTGTGAAACAGAACATTATATGTACCATCCTTCTTGAGGTGGAGACTGCATTGTCATTTTATAGTTACAATGAGAGACTGTGCCTATTTTTCCAGTTTTATCACAGAAGCTTTTGAGAAATTACTGGTGAAAGATAGCAGTTAACTCTTTGATGAGAATGGCGTGGTGATTATTAGGCACTTCTACTTAGACAGCAAAGACAATTGTCTGCATATATAAATGAACATGAATAATTCCTATCCAAGGAACTCTTTTAGGAACTGGAGTTGAAAAGCTGAAGTTTGTTACAAATACAGGGCCAGTAGTCTAATGCTCCTGTAGCAGTTGTAATAGCTCTAAATTATTAAGTGGTCTTTATTATGCAATTAAAAGAAAAATATGTGTCTATACATTCATGGCTGCTAGTACTCTAAAACTACCTTAATAAAAATGCATATATATATAATCTGTTTGGAGTTTGCATGGGTTGTATAAGCTGTGCTTTAAACTTACTTGATTTGGTTTTTTATTTTTAACTCCTATTTTAGAAATATCATAATGAGAGAACTTGCTCCCCAATTTCAAATACCATGGTCAATTCCTTTAGAAGCTGAAGACATTCCTATTGTGCCAACCACCTCTGGAACAATGTAAGAAAATAGTAGCTACACCTGAATTGTGCAAACTCCCAATGTAACTTTTGTGAGAATCTTTTTTTCTCTTTGCAAGGTGTGCCCACATTGGTCTGTGAATGCTTGTTTTGTGTGCTGAAAACAAGGAAGGAATCACAATTGCTGTATCAGCAGTCAGAGTTTCTCACCCTTAGTCAAGCTGAGTATAGAACAGCAGATGTTATAGTTTAGCGTCTTTTATGCATAGCTTCCACTGCTAATCATTGTTCCAGCACCAACTTAATATGTGCTTCTAATAAACATGCTCTCTCATTTAATGATCCTCAAAATCATTATTTTAAAAACTACTTAAAATAGATACTCTATAGTTACTTAAGTCTTAAAATCAGTATTTATATTTTATATAAACCTTACATCATTTTGAGTTAACCTTATATTCTTGCATATGCTTCCATCACTTCTGTAGTTATGTCAGATGACTACAACTTTGTCAATTGTCTTGATTGTAGTTGGTTTAATATTGAATAAAAGGCACACTTGTGTACAGACTTGTGAAATGCAACCCTTGAAATTTCAGGATGGAGCTTAGATGTGTTATAGCTGTAATACGCCATGGGGATCGAACACCAAAGCAAAAAATGAAAATGGAAGTAAAACATCAGAGGTAAATAGAATCTTGGTAAAAGTTATTTCCCATATTTTAGAGTATAGGATTTTGGGGCTAAGCAGTGAATTAACTAGGAATTGCAAAATTGCAAGTTGCTTTTTGTTTTGTTTTCTTCTAAATCTAACAGTTTTAGATACTGCAAATAATTACAAGCATGCACCTCTCTTTCTAACAGGACTGTCAACTTACTTGTGCAGATTTCCTTCAATACATGCTGTGCCTTGTGAACTGTCCTGTTTGATTTTATGGAAAATGCATTCGTGTCTGTAAATGTCTTTATTAAAAATAACGCAGCAGAGAATATTTCTGGTTCTCCATTAGACCATGACTTCTGACTTCTGCTTTTTATCATAACTGTTCTTGTGTGCCATGTCATATTAATTTTTCTAGTTATTTTTGTCAAAGTTTAATGACTCTGAATTTCTGGTAGATACCATCTTTATGTTGGCATTCATAAGAAAACATACATTATTGACCTGGAACTATGTTCGGTTTCAGTAAAAAGGAATTATTTATTCTGGGACTAGATTCCTGCATTCAGAACATGCTGAAGAAGAGTAGGACTGCTCACTTGGTGTTTTTGGTCCCTACTTCTGTTCAAGATGATTCTTGAAGACTACGAATTGATATACCTGCATATTCAAATAGTATATAATTCAAATATATAGAATATAATCTTTTTTTTAAATACTTAGCAAGTTAGTAAGAGACTGACTAAGTTATTTTCAGTACTCTTATTTCCCTAATGCATTGGGAAAACTTTCTGGGGTGATGGGATATGAATAAAATTTGGTTTGACCTCTGTGCTGCAGATTTTAACCTGACTTTCAAATACTGTAAAGATACTAATTTTAGATCACTTTAAGAGCCTCCTGTTCAAGTAGTAGTAATTTAATTTATTAATGGAATTTTAAAATTATTGTTTTTATCTTAAAGATTTTTTGATCTCTTTGAAAAATGTGATGGATATAAATCTGGAAAACTGAAACTGAAAAAACCAAAACAGTTGCAGGCAAGTTTCTTTATTTTTTTACTGTAATATTTTGAAAGTAGAAATCTATTTATTTAATTAAATCCTATGTTTCCTTCTTTTAGGAAGTACTTGATATAGCAAGGCAGCTCCTTGTAGAACTTGGGCAAAACAATGATTCTGAAATTGAAGAAAGTAAAGCAAAACTTGAACAGCTGAAGACTGTGTTAGAAATGTAAGTGTCTAATTTTCAGGCTTCATAGCAATGAAGTTATATCTGTTCCACTAGTTACTGTGTTGTTGAGTCCACTAGTTACTGTGTGGATTGCAATGTTATCAAATACATAATAATATAATAATTGAAGCATAACGTTTTTGAAGAGAAGGATGTCATGTTTGAAATGAGCCATCACTCTGGTATTTTTCTTCTTAACTTTTTAATTTAACTTACTGCTGTATCTAGTGTCTCAGTATACATTCAAAAAGAGAAGGTTACTTTTATTGATGTCAAATTTTGTCTTCTTGCATGTTTTTAAAATGAAAATGCTTGTAAGCAAGATCTGCTTCTTGCAGTGTGACCTAATGACATCTGATAAAACCAGTAAGAACTATCACCATACTTCCTTGACTACTTAACTACTTACAGCAAACTTTGAGGATTCAATATAAATAAGTCTTTGTATACTAAGCCTGAAATATTTAGTAAAAAGCCCCAAACCTTCAAATACCCAACAAAACAAAGAAAACAACAGAAAAAAACGGCTTCAAGGTTTATTAAACATCTGGGATCTTAGACTGTAAAATGTTAATAGGAATTTTTAATTTTAAAAAATCAGGGAACACACAATTATTATTGAAATTTATAATAACTGTTTTAAATACTGAGTTTTGCTTGAGAAGTTAATGGGCTATAAAACCAGTAACCATCTACACTGTGAGACCAGTTTCTGGATACTAGTAGCCACTGTAGTTTTGGATCTGAATAGATAAATTACTTGTGCCATGTCCAATACTGCTTATTGTTGTGGGGGATGGGGGGTTCCAGTTTTATGTTCATTGTTGTAAAAGGTAGAATTAGATAGTATTTTAAGATGTTTCATTATAGCATAGTTTTTATTTCTGCTAATTCTGTGTTTGTTGAGTTACTGTTTGTTCTAAGGACTGCCTCAATAAATGTTGGTCAAATACTCAAATCATTGACGAACAGAGATTTATTATATCTTGTTACAGGATTTTAGCAGTTTTGGAGGAAGATATTTAAAATGTTTCTCTCCCTCTTCCCCTCTCATTTTTCCCTGTTCCTGCTTAAGGTATGGGCATTTTTCAGGCATAAATCGCAAAGTTCAGTTAACGTATCTTCCTCATGGCTGCCCTAAGACTTCCAGTGAAGAGGAAGGTATTGTATTACTTCTCTACCTAATTGCTTAATATTATGTGTATATAAATAGTCACGGACTACTGGTATAACGTGTCTTGATGTTAAAAAGAGTGAATATTCTGTTTTGAAAATATGTATAGTTAGCACATATTCACAGTATTTTAATCTGCTGAATTGTACACCTAAAACTGTAGTAAATTTGTCTTCTAACCCTGCTCTTGTGCAACAGAAGAGTAACATGAAAAGAAACTTCAGTGATTCACCAAAGTGGTGTTTTGAGCCAGTGTAAGAAAATCTGACTCAACAATTTAAAAACATTTACCAATTGGAAATTTAAAACATTTACAAATTGTAGGGTGTTTAGCATCCAATTTGTTATAAATTTCTGTCTTGATTTACTGTTTGCTTCAGATTCGTGCTAAATATTTTTCACGTATATTCTCTTTATAGTTTTATTACTTCTGTTTTCTCTGTCATCTTTAGTTCATCAGGTCAATATGTCCTTAATGTTAGAATACTGTTAAAGACTCGTAATGTTGAAGAGGTCCTTTGATGAAGCTTCTCATAGACCAAATACTTTTTGTTCATTTGGAAAAAAATTTAACAATATACTTAATTACTAAGGTTTTCTCCTGTGTAAAATTAGATAATAGAAGAAATGAGCCATCCCTGCTTCTCGTTCTAAAATGGGGAGGAGAGTTGACCCCTGCAGGCAGGGTTCAAGCAGAGGAGCTTGGAAGAGCTTTCAGGTGTATGTATCCAGGCGGACAAGGTAAAAAGAAAATTTTCATAATAATTTAAAAAAAAAATCAGTCCAGTGTCATAAATCACTTTTGAAGATAATCAAGTGCAAGATGAGAGTTTGAGCAAAATGTTTATTTGGTAGGAGATTATGCTGGATTTCCTGGATGTGGATTACTTAGATTACATAGCACTTACCGACATGATCTCAAAATCTATGCTTCTGATGAGGGACGAGTTCAGATGACTGCAGCAGCTTTTGCAAAGGTACAATGTGAAATGGTATTTTAATTTCTAAAATTCTGATATTCTCAGGTTTGTGTTTTCTTTTGAAGTCTGGGAGAGATTTGCAATTTATTAGAAAAAGGTATTTTCAAAGAGTAGTTCAATGTGAAAAAGTATTCAAATAATGTGCCAAACATTTGAAGTTCTTTGAGCAAATGAAGACAGTTTTTAATTAAACAGCCCTGTCTGAGGCACTTTTGTCCTCTTCTCCATAAGATTCTGTGAACAATCTGCTCTGACAAGTGAACTGTCTGCTCACTTGAAATACTGGCCTCTACTGCAAGTATTTGTCTTCTTTACTTCTCCATGGGTAATATCAAATTTCAATTACCGAGACTGCTATCTACCTTTACTTTCCTGACACTTGTGAGTAACAGGTCCAGGGCAATGCCTGTGCTCAACAGTTCATCAGTAACCTCTGTGAAAGAATTGTCCTAGGCATTTTCTAGAGATCTTGGTTCCTTGTTCCCTGCTATATTGCCATAGACGTATCCAGTGCCAAGAGTACTCATGGAAACAAGGCCTGCAATTAGGTGGCTTTCTCCACTTGTGTTAACAATGTTTCATCTGTTTCCCCTCTTAAATTGGGGGATCTGTAATAGAGGCCTACCATGATACTGTAATATCTAACTGGCTTCCAAAAGGTCCTACATCTAGTTACAGCAAAAGTCCATTCATGTGAGCTATTCTACAGTATCTCTCTAATGTGAATTAACTTAAAGCTTTACAAGTCTTCAGACTTCCTGTTTCTTCTATTTGTTTCTATGCTGCATGTGTTTGTACAGAAACATTTCAGCCATCTGACCTGCTTTCCCTTGGTCAGCAGGCTTGAAGAGACACCACACCATTTCCTTCTTTATTCCAGAGCCCTTCTATTGCCACACAGGCCACAAAAGTTTCCAGCCTTCTTCATTTTGGAATTCTCCATTCACCTCTTGTTCAAGGCCTTTGATTGTCCTGTGACTCACATGGCTTGGGTTTTTTCCTCTGTAGAGTTTCTGGAGGACCCTACCTATCTGCTGTTTATCCTGCCAGATGCTATTTAGTTTTAAACCCTTCCCATAGCTCCTCTCTGGTAACACAAGTCCTTGAGGAAAGCATGTCACCCACAAGTCAGGCAGCTGTTGCTTCCAGCCTCAGGTAGAGGGCACCTGCACTCCCTACAATCCAAGACCTGAACAGCTGATGTTGTGGAACATTTCTCTGTGGCATGTCACCATCACTGTTGCACCATCTTTATCAATCCTGCAAGCTAGAGGTGTATAGGGACCCATTTCTGTAAGTATATCCATTGTGCCCCTGTTTATCTAACCTATAGCCAGGTGATACCATCTTGAATTTAAATTAGTGTTTTGGGCTTTTTTTTTTTTAAGATATTAATTTTTTCATCTTCATCTATTTGCCTGAATAATGATATTGTTTGCTTCAGGGACTACTGGCCTTAGAGGGAGAGCTGACTCCTATTCTTGTCCAGATGGTAAAAAGTGCTAATATGAATGGTCTGTTGGACAGTGACAGTGATTCTTTAAGCAGCTGTCAACATCGTGTTAAAGCAAGGCTCCATGAAATTCTCCAGAGAGACAGAGAATTTACTGCTGATGACTATGATAAGGTTAGCATGTGATTAGTTTCCCTTTAAATAAAAGAAATAACTATGAAAATGAAAATTCCTATGCAAAAGTAGTGAGCAGTGATTTTATGTGTCTGTTTTGCAAAATTATTTGCGTGCTTGCAAATAGTTTGAAGTGTAAAGGTGACTGTACCAATTGTGGCTGTAGATATTTCATCCCGCAATTTCAGTAATTAGAATAGCTACAAACTTTGAAGTAGGAGTGGACAGGGATCTCGTTTGTAAACTTTTTTCACTGTTCCATTAAAATATTTTAATTATTCAAGAAATGACGTAATATTGTTTGAATTTTTTATAATCTTTACTTTGACATTGTATGGTGTAACAAAACGTTTTCCTACCTACTGCAGTTTCAATCGTTAATCTGCTACAAGGCCTTTTTTTTGACTTAGAATACGAAGATACTGAAAACCAGTAGAATACTTTCAGTGAAATGAAATATCTCATTAACATGCTAAATTAGCACATAGTAATATAGTTTATGTTGACTTAGTACTGATCATGTCATTGTTCCTCGTTTTAAATGTATTGTTTGTTATAGTTAAGAAACTTCTTTCTCTTTCAATTGCTCATACTCTGTCTTGTGTAACGACTAAATATAAATCCTCAAATGAGGCTTAAGCTTAAACTGTTATTTTTGAAAAAGCATTGAGAGCAAATTATTTAAGAATAATATACCCTGCATGTATATACTCTGTGTGGATTCATTTAAATACATAAAATATCATGCAAACCACTCCTAGCAGTGGATTCAACAGTAATTGGAAAATGCAAGGATTTATTGATGTTTGTTATATAGATATAATAAGGTTTGAAATTAGCTAGAACTAATAGAGTGCTCTTCAATCACTGAGTTACTGGCCTTTGGGATTATAAAGCAATAAAAACTTGGGGGGTTCATTTATTTGTGGAAGTTTTTTAATTTACTTGTGATTTGGGAAAACTGTATGGGGTTTATTCCTGTGCCTTCCTCTCATTACATATTTCTTGATTTACATCGTAATAGGGAGATAGGAACTGTTTAGTGTCAGGTAGACAGCAGAAGTTTTCCACATCCAAATTACTCTAGTCATTTCAGGAAACTGAGGAAAGTGCAAATAATTGTGTGGTTTTTGTATAAATTACTGTTTGATATCATTGTTCACTTTGAATTCTGCAGACTTTTCTGAAAAAAAATGAGGCTAAGCCTCACATATACATTGACTGTATTGTTTTAGGGACACTCACCTTGATGGTGATCATTTGTAGCTTTTACCATTTCAATAATTTATCCCATTCTGAAGAACATCTCATATGTTGTTCCTATATGTGCATTTAAAGGCTTTCTTTTTGTGCCTGTGTCTTGCAGTCCTGTAGAAACAAAAACCTATGACGGGAACAGGCAAACCTTTTTAAAGGTACCAGTTACTCTGGCAAATCTGGTTCCTATAGAGAAAAAAAATATTTTGTGAGGCATGTAGCTTAACGACAACATTTCTAACAGAATTTACTTTTGTAAGCTTTTGAATAGAGAAGTTACTTGAAAGGAAGATATGGAAGCTTGCTAAGTATATATATGAAATTTTAAGCATCTTCCCAATTTTCCTGTCTTGGAATAAAATAAATGGTTTTATTAATTCTTGTAGATATTCACATTTACTGTATAGAATTAGTTGCTCTATGAATTTCTTATTACCTTTGAATCTCTAGTAAATGGTACTATGTTTTGATGTATTTTCTTAATGCCTCAAAGGTATAGATAATTGATAAATTATTAAAAATATTCATAGCAACCTGCTTGAGTACTTTTTCTCCAGTACTTGGTATCTTTGACATGTTCCATCTTACCAGGTTTTTCAAATCTAGTCTGTTCAGTTAATTTTGTGTTTATCTCAAATTGCAGCTCACTCCATCTGGGAGCATCTCACTGATAAAATCAATGCAGATTATTAAAAATCCTGTAAAGACATGTGACAAGGTCTATTACTTGATACAGAGTTTGACTTCTCAGATCAGGCAGAGAATGGAAGATCCAAAGTCTGCAGGTACTGAAACATTTTTGTACTTGTATTAGTTTCTCTAGTTAATATACATGAAAGAGAATTGTAATGTAACTTCTTCACTAAACTCACTTTTAGCAGAACATTGGTCAACCAATAATGGATTAAGTACTTTCACTGTCTGATTTCATATGCATAGTTTTGAAGTAAAAAGTGTGAGGAACATGTGGTTGTATTGCAGGTAAGGGCTCTTTGGCGTTGAGAAATTCCAATGTTTGCAGACATTCTTGTCTTAATTATTTGAAACTCAGCATGCAACAAAGGAGTAGTAGGAAAAATTGATGGTACTAAAGCTAATTTATATAGGTACATCTTATATTTAAGGGCCAGTGGTACATTTCTGCCGCAATGTGTTTTACTATCATAATGGAGCTATGTAATTGTGATGCTTTCTGCATTAAAATAATTTTATGCCCCATTGTCCCTTCTTCTTAATAGTAATTTATTTTAATCCCTCTGTAATTCAGTTGTTGCTACTATGTAATTAAAATGTCCTTTTGTTACTTGAATGGCCTTAATTATTTATAAGAGATACATGTCTATCCAGATATTCAGCTGTACCACAGTGAAACTCTAGAACTGATGTTGCGCAGGTGGGCCAAGTTGGAAAAAGACTTCAAAACAAAAAATGGAAGATATGATATTAGCAAAATTCCTGATATTTATGACTGTATAAAATATGATGTACAACACAATGGATCCTTAAAATTAGAAAACACGATGGAATTATATAGGCTTTCAAAGGCTTTAGCTGACATTGTGATTCCTCAGGTAAGCATTCTCAGTTATTAAATAAAAGAAAGTGTAAAATAAATACATTTTTAAATTTTTGTGAAAATGTCTACTTTGCATTTTCTTTTGAAGCTCCCACATTTTGCAATAGGAGAAGCTTTTAACATTATCTCTTATTTTTCAGTAGTAAACTGATTTGGATTTTTTCAGAAAAATTTGATTCAGAATTAATTAAGCTGTGTTCAGGATGAATTTTTTTAGAGATTTAGGGTGCGAACATGCCTCCTTCCTTTACAGCAGTGTATTAAAATAAAATGGTTCATCTTCACCATTCATCATAGATTTAACAGTTGCCTTTGTGGATAACTATGTTTTCTTAATTACTTTTAATTTAATTTCTACAGCTTATAGAAATTTCATTTTTGGGCTCTTTCCAAATGACAATGTTCATCCTAATCTATGCAATTTAACTAATTTTAAACAATTTTAATTTATAAAGACCTTTCTGCTTTTTCAAAATGCTAAGACTCCATGATGTCAATCTAGACATTAAATTTCACAGAATTTCAGGCCAGAAGTGGACAAGTTAAACTTACATGCTCTGTGGGCTGTTAAACTTTGTTCAGCTCTAAAATCTTGGAGGTGGCAGGTCATGAAAATTGAGTTGTGATAACAGGACAGAACAGACTAAAGCTTTCCCCAAGCATCTCTGCAGTTACATAATAGTGTTGTAACAGAGGTGTTTACCCATACTGTATGCAGCATGTGAGGGAAGTTCTTCCTCTCCCCATCTCTCAAACTCCTTGACGTGGAAGAAAAAAATAGTAGTGATGCTTAGAATGCATTGTTGTGTGTGGGTCTGTTAAGCTGTAATTTTGAACAGAAAGTTAGAGATGAGCAGGTCAAACTGAGGACACATACTGGAGGGAGAACAAAGAAAACTTGATAGCCTACATAATGCAAAGGAAGAGTGCTTGTGTTGCTCTCTAGCGTAACAAGAAGATTCATTATTACAACATCTAATATCACCAGTAATTTTCCAGTTGTATATAAATACCATTTGTGTTATCATTTGACATAAATGGAAGATCTTCTCTGGGGTGGCTTACTCCAAACTAAGGCAGACATCCCAAATACATCTCTTTAGTGACTGTTAAAAGAAAGGGAAAAAAAGAAATAAAAATCCACAACATTTTGGGGGCAGGATAGGAGATGGAGATGGTACAAGAAGGCAGAATGATTCCATAGATGTTATAGTTAAGAAAAGGAGCTTTATCCTACCAGAAGGTAAATCCGCTTCTTTGCTTTAACTAATGAAGGAAAACTTTTTGTCGGCATCAAGTCAAACAGCAAAAAGGCAAACTGCTTGTTAGTTGAAGCTACATCACTAATCATATGTAGTAAAAATGTTTAAAAAATTGTTTGTAGCCAGAGCAAACTAATAGATGACTAATTTGCTTTCATATAGAAGCTTTGAATTAGAAGGCATATTAATCTTTAACTGAATTTTGAAAGTCGGTTTGTTTTTACACAGGAATATGGTATTTCTAAAGCTGAGAAGTTGGAGATTGCCAAAGGTTACTGCACTCCTCTAGTCAGAAAAATTCGTTCTGACCTTCAGAGAACTCAAGATGATGACACTGTAAATAAGCTTCACCCTCTGTAAGCCAGTCACTTTTTTACATGGTTACACTAATTACCTTAAAAATTAGAGCTATTCTGTAAGTTTCAAATTTGAAATACCTTTTTGGCTTATAGCAGTTAGAAAGTATAATTTATTTATTTATTTACAGCTATTTTAAAAATAAGGGCACATCTTATCATGGTCTAATAACATTTTTCTTTTTTTTAAGCTACTCCAGGGGTGTCATGTCCCCAGAACGCCATGTTCGTACCCGGCTGTATTTCACCAGTGAGAGTCACGTCCACTCTCTGTTATCCACCCTTCGTTATGGTGCCTTATGTGATGTAAGTTTCTCTGTTGAAGCCCTGATATTTTTGAGAGGAGCCTGACTGTATCAATTGAAACATTAAGTGACTTTGAAATTTATCACATTTTTTCAAACACTTTATTTTCTATTGCTTATGCAGAAACATATTGCAAATTGCACATTAATTAGCATGCTAATTTCCATCAAAGTAATGCTGTGTTCCATTGGCTGTATGTGTTAGAACCACAAACAGATGTGGAAAGGCCAGTTATTCTTTTTTGTCTTCTGTTGTCACCAATAGTTCTTCCACCTTTTATTCTCAAGTTATGATTCAGTGTTCTCCTGAATTTACTTTTGCACTGGCTTACTATTTTTGACCATTGACATATTGTCAAGACGCCCCTACCTAATTTCAAGTCTGCTCATAGAGTACAAAGTTCCTCCTGTACAGTGAATTTTCTTACTTTCCTGTACTGTTACAGAATATTACAAAGGTGGTGTATTGTTCTCCATCTGATAGTGTTTGATACTGAAAAACACAGTCTCCAGGTTCAGAAAACTACTTAAACTGAGGTCTTGGAGTAGATACATGCAGCACTACAAACTTATCTGCTTGTAAGATACCATTTGACTTATTGTCTTATTGAGATACTTGCTTCCAGTAATGGATGACTAAACTCAGTGATGGCAAAAGCATTTATAAACCTCTTGACATGCTAGAACAGGTACACTCCAATTTTAAGTCTGATAAACTCTTAATTTTTCTTTATGGTGGATTACTAAATGGTTTCTGTCCTACAGCATGAAAAAGGTGACTATTCATTTAAGTAGTTTGGGATGTGACAGTTGTACCTCCTCTATATACTAGAAAGCTTCGTTTACTCAATTTGGCTGATATCTCTGTTAGTGTGATATCTAAAAACATTTTTCACAATATACTATCTGAAATTAATTTATTGCAATATTAGCAGTTCTCATCAGGAGAATTGAACACAATGCCTCTGTCTATATATCATTGTTGGCGAAAAAACATGAAAGACACACTGAAATAACATATGAAAAGTTTGCTCTTCACTTTTCAGTCATTTGATAAGCAATTTTAAGTCACTCATGGAGGTTCATAATTAGGTTTTTTCGTTGTACCTCTGCATTTTCCCCAACTATGATGAGCTTTGCACTTTTACTATGAAAACCTGTGTAAATGGGAGAAAAGTGAAGTCATCAGTCTTTTTAAAGAAAACAGCTGAGTTTTACTTGTTGATTTCTTTTTCTCCATAAGGAATCAAAAGATGAACAATGGAAACGAGCTATGGATTACTTAAATGTCGTCAATGAACTCAATTACATGACACAGATTGTTATCATGCTCTATGAGGATCCAAATAAGGTATTTAAAATGGGTAAATATCTTCAGAAATTAGTAGTGCTGAGCTATTTTTTAAAGTATAAACCTATTATTTTACTTCAGGAACTTTCTTCAGAAGAACGTTTTCACGTAGAGCTGCATTTCAGTCCAGGAGCTAAAGGCTGTGAGGAAGATAAAAATTTACCATCTGGATATGGATACAGACCTGCCTCCAGAGAGGTAATAATTATGCCTTTCTGTAAAGCAAAACTTAGGTTTTTTGGATATGGATGTACCTAAAATAAACACTTTAAAGTTGTTATGTAAAAAATACAAGTGTGGGTTTTTCTTTTGGTAGAAAAACATGCAGTAAAAATAAGTAGTCCCAGTATTTTCTGTTTTGAATGGGCACTGAGGTGAAGGACACAGATAATTTGGATGTTCTGAATCTTTGCCAGAATTTTTACTATAAATACAATATACTCTAAGTGATGTCAACATCAGAGTGTCACATGAATAATATTCTGGGAACTGGAAGACACATTTAAGAAAGTAGTTTGGCATGTTTATGAATACATATTGTTGAGGAAGGATTGATATTTTCCAAGATATATGGTCAGGTAAGTGTAGTTATGATTGCATTCTGAGAAAGGAATGAGAACAAAGCTTGGCTGGAATTCTTCTAAATAGAAGAAAAAAGAAGAAACAGATTATTATTTAGATAATTAAAGTCTAGAACAGTTTTTTCAGTAATATGTGATTTACATCTTGTATTTTTAAAATCAGCTTGTTTTGTCTTTTTGCGGAATATTTATTTAAGAGACACTTCTGTCTACATGTTAGAAGGTGTGCAGACAAATTGATAATGAATTATGTATTTTCTGTAGAATGAAGGCTCAAAAAAAACCTCTCATAGAAATGATAGTGATGAGGAGGTGCACGCTCCTAAACGAGATGAAACCGATCGATCAGTAGTGATGTTCAAGCCAATGGTATCAGACCCAATTCACATACACAGAAAGTCACCCCTTCCAAGATCCAGGAAGATTGGTTCTGTTGAAGTAAGTGTTTGTATTCCAGATAATTTCTGTCAAAGACATTTAATTTTTGCTTGCTTTAAAGAAAACAAAACCAAATGTAATTCTGCTTTTGATTATACAAAACCAGCATGATATGTCTCACAGAACCTCAGTGGGAAATCTTCCATAACAATAATTTCTCCGAAGAGCTATATTTTTAATAATTATTACTATTCTGTGATAAGACTTACTTCCTTTTATTTAAGCCATTTTAGAATAGTTGATATTTGAAAATGAAGACTCTTTCAGTCTAAACCTACATCTACAAACTAACATACATTGCTTTTCTATTCATCCTTACAAGAGAGCTACTACTGGGAATTGAGCAAACTTTCAGGGTGATTGTGCTGAAAGGGAGCAGAGGGATTAGGGTGGATGGGGAGGGGCAGGACGTGAGACATCTCTACTGTATTTACTTTCATGTGGAGTGAAAGTGACTCTACTTGTCAAGATTTTGAAGGTAAGAAAGATAAAGTGGAAGCTTTCTTTTTAAGTGGCTGGTGTTTTTCATGAATTCTGTAGGTAACATCTTGAACAATCTAGTTCGCTGTCTTGAAAGCCATGACATCTAGGTGTGCTTCACAGATATGGCTTAATGTCACAGAGGTGAGGGGATGCACAGCTGTACACTGATACCATTGGGATGGTTGAGTGGGAATTCAGATGGTGCATAGAAGCACTTCTGTGATATTAATGCTAGAAGCAGACTAACAGCTTCTTATTGCCTCATTTTCAGTTGCTTAAAACCATCAGAAATGAAGATTCACAGCAAAAGCTTTTTCTTTTATATCTCTGTTGGGAATGAGTTGTTTGTATGCAGTAAAAGTATTACAGATTTGGAAATCACTTGGTTATTGGCAGTATGGAGAGAAAAGGATGCATGATTCCCTTCTGTAAGGATATCTGTATAACTTCACATGACTTCCATAAATTAACAGACATAATAAATGTTAATGTCTTACATTTTCTATTTCAAAGTTTTTTCATAAACAAATGCTCACAACATCAATATTTTTTATTTTTAGAAGCTGTTTTTGCGATGATCATGCAAATTCCCCTCCTAGCTATGAGTTCACTTATGCACAGCTTAATAGTCTATTACTTCAACTTTCAACCATTTTCATAAATTATATGGAAGTTAACTTTCCCAAGATATCACAAGAACAACTTGCCAAATTTTGACTGTGCAGATAATATATGTTAAAATGGGATGTGTTTCAGCATTCAGAGCTTGCTTTTTGATGGAAAGAAATAGCAAATTTAGAGAAAACATACACTGTAAAACACATTTTTGTTATAAGTAAAATAGGAAGTTCCATCTGGCCTACTGAAATCTGCAAAACTAGTGTTTGGAATATATAAACTAAACAGTATTTTGGAGCAATTTTAAAAAGTCACTGCAACTTAAACTGCAACTGCCTTGAACTTTTTTTTTCTTTTTTTTTTCCTTCCCCCCCCCCCCTTTTTTTTTTTATCCTCCTGTAAGGTAATTCTGTTTTCATCTATGTCACGTTAATTTGAAAGGGCACTGTCAGGTGTGAGATTATATGTAAATTTTAATCTGGGTTAGTCAGTAGTATTTACAGAAGGAATGCAACTGTGACTGAGTCATGAAAGGAAAACAAAGCTGAGTTATAGTGGTAAAACCAGAATATAAAGCTCATTGACAATGGGAAGCAAACTGTATTACAAAGAATGTTATTGCTAATGATATATAATGATGTAGATATGGGGGGATACTTAGCCTGACACTCCCTTGAAATCTTCAGAAGTTGTCCAGCATCAGATAACTTTTAGTACATTTTTAAGTTTGGAAAACTACTACCAGTCAATTTAGTGCTACTATCAGTGAGTCAGCTGTAAAGTCTCAAAGGAAATTTTAAAATTTAAAAATAGCATTCAGATAAGCTTATAGACTAGAAATGGAAACTATTAAGTAATAAATAGGAAAGTTTAATGTACTTAGGAAGGGAAAAACTATTAAACAGTATGTCAAGGGTAACAGAAGTTCTGTCTCCAACATATGAAAAATTCTTTAAATTATGAATCAATTATTGATAACAAATGTTTTCTCTCATATCTAATATTAGTCTACTAGAAATTTGATTGAAGTGTTGTAGTAAAAGGTATCATTGGCTGAAGAGATAAAAGTGAAACTGATAACTTTCTAATGTTGGATTATTACACTTTTCTCTTGCTGTTTAATAGTTTTTAAAGGTAGTATGTAAAAGGATGCAAACAGATTGGGTTTTTTTCTTTTCTGTTCATTTGGCTCTGTTGAATCTAACTTTGCATGCTTTGCTGTTTTTTGCCCCCTTTCTCACTTCCAGGAAGAGAGCCCCCTGAGTGTGTCTAGCCCAGAGTGTATTGGTACCTGGCTGCATTACACCAGTGGTGTGGGTACTGGGCGTCGAAGACGCAGATCAGGGGAACAAATCACTTCTTCCCCTGTCTCCCCTAAATCACTGGCTTTCACATCCAGTATTTTTGGCTCATGGCAACAGGTTTTTAAACTTTACTTCATTAAACATTTTATGCATTCCAAGCAACAACTGTCTTTAAGGACATCTAATCCCTTGTTACGGATTATGTTTCAAGCAATACCTTCCACTTTTTAAAATTATGTGCCAAGAATGTTTGGGGGAAAAAGACCAAGTGCATGTTTTTCCACTGAATGTGTTACACACTTTCATAGACATTTGGTTTCTTTATAGGAATTGCAAATGTTACCACAGTAAAAAAGATTTAGTGTGCTGCCTCATGGAAGAGAATTATGTTTTGGTTTAGTTGTCCTTTAAGACTTTAAAACCAGCATTGCTTAATTTGGTGGTAGGTAAATTTAAAAAAAAATTGCAACTGATTCAATTAAAAATAATCTGTTTGGTACTTCATGTTGCTACTCAAAACTTGTTTTGCATATATAATATTTTCAGTGGCCTGGTATTAACTATTGCAGGGAAAAATCTCTAGCACTAATAATTCTTGCCATCTATATCTGGAGGTATCTGAAACTCCCAACACAGTACATCATCCATTGACTCATACAATATTTTGAAGATTGCTCCATGTAATGGGGGAAGAGGGAAAAGCAGGGGAAAACAGAAACAGTGAATGTTTTTGAAGTACCAGTGAAGATCTAAAGCTGTTCAGAATATCAAGATATTGTTTATATGTAGGACAATGGATGGTGTTCTGTAACCATATTCTTTTAGTTAGAAAATTTTCATAATTTATTGTAGAAAATTCTAAAATTATATACATTGGAAAAGTTTATATCAGCAAAGGCTGTGAGCATCTGGAGATTGTACTGATTGAGCCTGTGCATGGTCAGTGATCGTATGGTGTCCTCAATAGCTTGTCTGTCTTTCCTTCCCTCCCCTCCTTTTTTCAATACAGGCGCAGTTTAGGAAAGTGCATTTGGTAAAATGAAATAAAATGTCTCAAATATTTGTTCTCATATCAGTCTTGGTCTGTGTCCTTTCTCATTCTGAATGCTTGCTTTGCACCACTTCATTGCAAGGAACTCATATATGAAATGGACTCCCTTCAGAAGGGGATATTGCATGATCTCTCATGTTTCCTTTACATATTTTTACTAACACTTACCATACAGCTTATTAACACCTGTCTGTCTGAAACAGGCTGCTGTATCAAGTTAAATGGATGTTTCATGCTGCTGTTCTACTTTCCCTTATTTTTCTGTTTCTTACATCCAGGTCCTATCAGAAAGCAATAGTAACTTACGAACACCAAGAACTATTCTGGAACAAAAGCAGAGTGGTCTAGGTATGTGCCTACAGTTGAAATTTTGTTTGATGTTATCAGCTTTTCATCTGCCTGCTGTTCTTTTTGTATATTCTTTGAATAGCTTTTTTGTTAACAGGACCCAATAGTACATGTTGTCAGTAACATATGCTGAGTGTCCGCCTATGGACTGGACAATTCTTTTTGCAAAAAAAATTTTGAAATAAATTATAAATGAAAAGAGCAAACTGTTTGAGACCCTTCATACTACTGATTTTGTACTGCTCACAACAGGTACATAGGATTATTTTTTAACATAAAGCAGATTTTTAAGATAATGTCTTTTTTGCTTGAGCTTTTGGATTTTGCAAGAATATTTTGCATTAAAACAGCCTGTTCTTTAAAATTTCTCTTTGCTGTTATGGGCAATGATGAAAGTGAAGATGTTTTTCTGAGGGATGGGGCATGGAGAACAAACATAAAGTTTCTTGATAGTATCAGGGGTTTTGCACATACTCCTCTCCTAAAATTAATTTCTTCTTTTCAGCATTAGTATGAATCATGCTATAATTCAAAGGCTTCTTTAAAATTCTCTTAATTGAAGAGGTGCTTTTCTATTGCTTTATTAAAACAGGCATACATATGACTTACATGTAAAAAAAATGAAATCATGCACTGCTGTAAATCAATATTGCTTTTTTTTCTGTGTGTCTTTTCATGGGAAATAAGAAGTATAAATAACTGCATCACCTAGATGCATAAACTTAGAAGTAGCTTTTACTTTATTTGCAAAGATACATGTTTTTGTATGTCTAATCTTTCTGTGATACTTTTCTTCCCATTATATTTTTCCCATAGCAAAATGTATACAATCAGGTGCTCTTGTTTACTGAAGTCTTGGATTTTATTATGTGCTTGCTAAAGTTAAATGAATATTCTATTGTGTGACACAATATGGCTTGTAGAAGTTGATGTATTTCCATGTAGATTAAGGTATTACATTTGGTATGAAAGGCTTTTGCCACAGACCAGGCACCAATTTATTTTGGCTGATTGGTCACATGTGCTAGTAATGTTTCCCCTCACTGGACTATTATAAATAATGATCATATTGCTGATTTTCATAAAAACATCTGCTGTTACTTATCTAAAATGTGAAAGATAAGTTCTGAGTGAAAAATTGCTTCTCCTTTCAACTAGTAGTAAAATGTAAAGGAAAAAACTTGCAACTTTTTTCCCCATTTTGTTCATTGTTATACGTAAGTTTCATTAATGGTTGTTGATTACAAAAGTTATTTTTATATTTTTATCTGTGGCTGTCAGTGATTTCTTTAAATTCCCATTCTAGTGGCAGGAATGCATGAGTTGTAACAAAGTACTGTCACTTGCATGGAGCTGTGCAAAAGTCTTTTCAGTAAAGGAAGTCAAGTTAAACTTGACAAAACTTTTGGGTTTTTTTCAATTTGTAACATTGTTAGTAATGGTAGCTGAAATCTGAATAAAGTATTTCCAATTTGTTTAAGATTTTGTTGGGGTTAGAATTATTTCCACATTCTAAGTCTGTGGAACTGCATGAGTACTTCATAGCAGCCTGTCATCTCCAAGGTTGATTTGGATGAAAGCAATGAGCAGCATTTTTCCAATTTATATTTGTTTCAGGAATACAGGTATTCAAAGACACAACTTTCACATCATCATCAATCATTACCACCATCAATCGTTATCATCATCATCATCTTCATTTTGTTTTGTTGTTTTGTTTATGTTTACATTGATGCTAACTGGTAACTTTTTTTTACCGAAAGTGAAAACAGGACAAGAACTCACTTTGTTAAAGCCAGTCCTCTCTTGGCACATATAACAGAGTGTGCCGTTTCATGAGTAGAAGCACAATAAATTACAATAGTTTCAGCCTACAAGTCCCACTCTGACATTACAAGCATATTGTGAACCTGTCCAAGGCACTGCCAAAAGCTGCCTTTTGTGTGGTAAGAGCCATGTGCTTGCATGCTGCATGCATCCCCAATGTGAATGGACGAACACCTGGTTGTTGTATGTATTTTCTCTAACTCCCATCAGGGTCTCACTGTGCGGGCCTGTTTAGCACCTCAGTGCTCGGGGGTTCTTCAAGTGCACCTAACCTACAGGATTATGCTCGTACGCATCGTAAAAAGCTGACTTCTTCTGGCTTCATAGATGGTATGTGCACACTCTAGCACATGCACGCACGACCCATGTGCCACATTGAACTTCTAAAGATTTTAATGGAATCCTAGAATCTTTGGCCTTAGTATTAATTTTATGAGTTTCTATTGCTTCTTTATTGCCCATAGCTTGCTTATGTTTAACTTAATACCACAGTTAATTCTTGTTTGTCTTGAATTGAAAACCAGATCACAGACTTGTAATGTATGCCAGGAGATTCTAGCAAGTGCATTTTTTAAGTAAACTGAAAGTTTTGTTTTTAAATTCTTTAATAATTTTAAACTCTGTTTTTTATCACTGCTACTTGATCTTGAAATTAAATAAATTATATTGAGCATACACAAGGAATGAAATGATAAAGTAATAAGTTAAATACTGATGGTGAAAATTTTAGGATTCCTGACCTTTTTTTTTCGTGGGGTTTGGATTGCAAAGGAGCAGGAGATTCTCAGTTTTGGATAATCTGGCATAGAGAAGAAACTCACTCACTAGATTTCAGAATGTAAAGATACCAAAGCACAACTTCATAACTGAGGTGAAACAGTATTCATGCTGTTTTCCCCCCCACTTCACTTCTCAGTATTCGACTCTAACCTGAATAGCCTTGTATGCCAGAATCACCAGCTCATTCTGCTTGTTTTCATACATGTCATTACACATCTTGTAGTTACCAACAATCCAAATTTTCTTTTTAACATCTACTTAGATTTTAGCCCTTTTCCTTGGTCCCTTCTGCATGCAACTCACTTCTCTCATGTTTTTTTTTTCCTTTCTTCTTCCTTTTCTATTTTAAAATCTCCCACTTTTGGTAGCTGTTACAAATTTCAGGTACCTGTTTTTCTCTTTCTCAGACACCACACGCGGTTCTGCTGTTAAAAGGTTTTCTATCTCATTTGCTCGACACCCAACCAATGGTACGTTTTGCTTTTATTTTAAAAACAAAATCAAAACCAAAAGGTTTCTTGCTTCATCCCTTTTATTTTTTTTTTCAAATACGGGGTGTACAGTATCATCCAGCTGTCTGTCGTTCCTAACTTCAAGCACAATTCCAAATATATTTGTAATCATTAGATATCGTAAATACTTTCTTTACCATTCATTAGTATAAATACAACATCAAAATTCATTACTTAGAAAAATCTGCAAAAAAATTTAAGTACTACTGTTAATCATGATCTCTCATAAATTATTCTCCAGAAGTTCTTGTGTGATCAGACTGTATGGTAGAAGATACAGATATTAAAATCTGATCTTATTGGACATACACTTCTTGATAACTGCTGTTTCTTCTTTGTCCTTCTCTGCTAATCTGATTCTCTGAGCCTGCCCATTCTAAAATAAATTGACAGCTGGAGTTTATGACTATCTTCTTGAAGTGATGCCAAATTACAAAAACTAAAGCAGAAACTTTGGTTCTATTCCTGCTAAATTGCTATATTTTTTATGGAACAAAAATTTATTTTACCTTATCATACTTTTCTGTTCATCAGATGTGCAAATTACTTAAATATTGCACTAAAAATCACAGCAAGAGAGCTGTGACTTCTTGAGCACCATTGACCTCTTGAGCTTCAAGAGTGAGAGTTAACTGTCTTCATTTTGCAAAATTTCTCATTTAACACAAAGGACAGAGGTATGTCTTTTTCTTCCTCAGCAAAATACTTTGCACCTCCCTTTCTGCAAGATTGAATAGGCCGCAAATATACTCGGGACCAACTGGACCTGAATGTAGAATGTGCATGACTGCTGGCTGAGTTCAGTGATAGTGATATTGAAATTGCAGTGGAAATCATCAGTATTTTTATGTTAGATTCAAAATATATTTGCTTTAAAAGAAACTTTTAAAAAGACATCAATTTTTGTTTAGCCTTGCTTAGAAGCAGAGTAGTATTTTATTACATTCATTTCAAATCCATAGTGGCTAATTTGCAGTGCTTTATGAAGGAAAACTGTAGTAAGGCTAAATTTATTTTTAAGACCTGTTTGATCTAAAATGCCCAATCTAATGTTTTATCTCAAATAGAAAAGTCAGGAGTCCATTTTTTTATATTATGACTCAAACCAAACAATATTCCCTAAACATACAAGGTCAGAAAATAAGAACTGCATTTGAGAATCTGTAGCTAATAATAGAATTACTTTTTGTTCCATTTAGTCACTTTTTGTGATTCCATTCTTTAAAAAATGGATCTAAATGGCTTTTAATGATCACACTGATTGCTCTGATTCATTTAATGCACAAGTTTTGCCACACATCTTTGACAAGATTAATGTATGCGGTATGAACTCCTATGAACCCTAAGTATATTCCAGGTTTCCAGGGGTTCTCTACTAACATAATGCCATACTGATGTTGTTTTGTCTATCCTCTGGACTATCATTTTAATTATCCTTGTCCCTTTCACTCTGTTTTTTTCTTACTTTTATGTTGTTATCACACCCTCCCAACTCATTTCAGACTACCCCCCCATCTTTAGTTCAAGGAACATGGTGAAACAAGTATCTTCTGAAAGTGCTATACTTTATTTTCTGGGCCTCTGCAGAACACCCACACCTCTTTAGGTGCTGGTCCACTTCCTCTGTGGAATTTCTAGGCTCCAGTGGTATGTCTCTACAGTGTTTGAATCTTAAGACAGCAGGGCTTTTTGAGATGCTGCGTTAACCCTTTCATTGGCTTGCCTTTTGATGCTTTAAGAACAAATACAGGCAAAAATCAAAGGCTGTTAGTGTACAGGAAATTGCCTTCTTAAAGGGATACTGTCAGGCTTCTTCCTGATAAAATTTGAAATTTATTTCTTATACCATCATAAAATATTTATCAGAAAACATTCAGATAAAACACTACACATAGATTTCCAGATTATGTTTTAAGCCATATCCCTTACAAATAAAGTTACTACAATGACATGCTGGAATATGACTAGCTGACAGCAGAATTGTCAAAACTCAACAAAAAAATCTGGAGGGGAAATTCCTAAAACAAGAACATTTTATTTCTTCTCTTTTTTCTTTTAAAGGGCAGTAGTGCATTTTGGAATTCCTCTCTGGTTCTCTATAACATGCAGTATAACAATAATAGTTACTAAAAAATTAACCTGACATTGTCCCACTTATTTGTGAAATTAGAAAAAATAATTCTCATTCAAGTGATAGTAAATTTTTCAGGGAAAAGAGAAATCTTACATTTTACTGTAAGGCAATGAAAGGGTTTGCGTTTTACATGCATGCATATAGTTATTTAGGATATTAATATGTATGATAAGCATCTTAGTGCTAAAACTGAAGGCTAGCTACTGAATTTATAAGAGAAGAGAAATTAATAGTACGGCGGTATTTCTTTTGTACACAAACCCCACATTTTCATAAAATGCAACATTTTGTTTATAATTTAAGTGAAGCTGACATAAGTGTACCTCAGTTGGTTGAATATTTGTAGCAATGGTCTCCAAACTTCGAATATGGCCAAGGTGGGTCTAAATATAAGTATAGACATTTGGGGGTTTGAATCTTGCTGAATTTCTTTTTTATGGAAAGTACTGATGGGGAGTGAATGGACAACACTGGATATCACAGGAATATCATTGCTTATTATTTTATGGGAAAGAACAGTTCCCTGTCATAATACTATCTCTAATAAATGTGCCTTAAACTGAAATTCTAAACATTACTTCATTCACTATTGCTTCTTAATTGTCTTAGAAGAAATTTACAGTATTGAATTGCAAAGTTGTAATGTTACAGCTGTATGTTGAAAACACTAATGAACATATTTTCCTCTTCTGAAATGCAACTGGATGAAACGCTGTTTATTGAGTTACCAAACTTGAATCACTTTAGAGGACTGCAAATTTTTTTAGCCAACATGTTTAAATGCTTTAGTCTATTAGTAATATGGATGTGCATGGTTAGTGTATGATCAATACTAACATAGAAAAGCAAAGTCCAATAAATTTTTAGATTTTTGGGTTGCTTTACTTACCTGTTCCAATATATGAAACTTCTAGTCTTTCAATACTGTTTTTAAATGCATAAGGTAGGTGTATATCTGTCTCACAACGTAAAAGCATGTAACCTCAAGGTGTAAAAATGCTAACAGTGGTTTTCCTTTGATATTTAAAGGCAACAGTTTGTTTTCACAGAATATTGAAGATGATAGAGCATGAATTCTGCAAATTTATTTCTTGGAAGATACAGCATTTTTAGCTCTTGTCTGCTAACAAAATAGCTGTCCTACTTTCTTGCATGAACGAGTTACTTTTTTAGTATTGTGCCAGGTATCAGAATGAATAGGAGAAATACTACCTTTTCCTGACTTTTTTGTTTTAGTGGTCTGCTAAGTTTGTCTTAAAGGGAAATTATCTTTCATGAACTGATTTGGGAGTAGAGCACAGTCTCTCATGGGTACTTCATGTGTACATGGGACTTCTATCCCACATACTGTATCTTTGGCTGGAAACTGGGTCATCTTGTTCCAACTCCTGTAATATTTAATTTCCATGATTCCCAAGAGACTTATGCCTGCACAAGCTCATGTAAACTAGGCATTTTTATCATGCATTACTGCAGTACCTTATATCCTGTCTTATGTTTGGAAATATATTTTTTTATTATTTTTTTCTTTTAGGCTTTGAACTGTATTCAATGGTGCCTTCTATTTGCCCTTTGGAAACTCTACACAACTCCTTGTCTCTGAAGCAGGTGGATGAATTTCTTGCTTCTGTTGCTGCTCCATCAAGGGAAAATCTGCAGGATACATGTACTGGTTATAGTTTGTAATTATGTTATTTAATTTTAAGTTCTGAACTGTTGTCTAGTTAATCTTTGCAGTGTTTGCAACTAACTAGTAAACAAAGGATACAGCTTTTGAAGAAAATGAAAATGTACATAAACCATAATTTTACATTTTGCACTATCCTTTTGGCAGTAATGTCTCTATTGGCTGAGGTAGTAAATTAAGGATTTAATGAAATTATAATTAGTTTATTTCCTTTATTATTACATTGACTTCTCTGTACTGTCCACAGTCAGCTGAATTACAGGTAATGCTTTTCAGGGAATATGCAGTATTCCCAGCTTTATACTGTAATGTTGTACTGTCAGTAACCTCAGCAGAATAGTGTTGTATTTACACTTAAAACTTCATTATTTCCTGTTTCTTTCAGTATTACTTGGGGTTTCACCTGTACAGTGATTTGCAGTTACTTAGGTTTTTAGCAGTTTGTGCTGCGTGTTTGAAGTTCAGGTGGTCTTGAAAGGTAATACAGGTGAATTCTATCCATGTGCATATGTGTCTGGGAAATGATTTCCCATTGTAATTCTACTGCTGTGTCTTTGAAAATAGTTTCAGTTAGGTCAGATTTAGCACATAATAGAATGTGTCATGTGATTGAAAATCATTCTTCCTAAGGAAGTGTCTAAAGATTTATGCTTTGATCAGGAAACTTGTACTGTTTCCTGATCAAAGTACTGATACAACAGTATATATGTTTGGACTTACCCCTTTTTCCTACTACAGGATTTTTCAAGTTTTCCCCCATTATTTTATACAGTTTAGATTTTAATCGGCAGTTTATTTGATAGGGTAGGGCTCCTGTATTCAAGAAGGAATATAAGCAATTTAGGAAAATTGATGTTACTGACAAAGAGCTCAGAGAGGCTTGTAAGTATATGAAAATTCTCAGCTACTTAAAATGTCTTTTTATACTGGTTTGGAAGTTTGTGTGTCTTCAAAATCAGTTCAGAATTGAGAGTATACAAGATGAAGAAATACTGAAAAACAAAATGTGTCATACCTTTCTACCAAGGAGTGATTGGAAAATAGACCTGATACAATTAAAGTCATAGCTGTTTAGTTCTCCTGCTTTCCTGTACTATTTGGAGGTTGTATAGAGATTAATGCATTGTGTGCACTTTTTATAGACATATCAGACTTAAAGCCTATTCAGGTGCAATCTTCATAACCTATGAGAAATAGCACAAATGCTTTTGCCAGTATTCTGGCAAGGCACTTGTTACTGAAATTCTGCCTTACCAGCATGAACTTGTGTGGCTTTCTGTGGTGAAAAAGAGATTTTAAGACTAGTCTTTCATATTGTAAGGTTCTGACACTAGAGTCAAAAATTGGTAGCTGAGCAGCTAGTTGTGTAAACGTGGTATCTGTTTTGCTGGATGGTTACATAGTCCTGTGGCTACAGTTTTTGACATCTGGTTTAGGTCAGAATATTTTTATTATTAATGATTCTTTTTCCCCCATCACTTCAGCTTCTCCAACTTACATGATGCCCCTTTCAGGAAGAAAAATTTCTTTAAATACATTTACCCCCGCAAAAATTCAACCAACTGCACTTGAAACTTTGCCTGAAAGGCTAGTGGTGGAAAAACTAACCTTATGTAAGTAAATTCTGTCAAAGGCATAATGACTAACTTGATTATTTCCAGCAGTATAATTCTTCCTTATATATTACATGATTTCATAGGGCAGCTTTTTCTTAACATTCCCTACATAAGTAGAATAATTTTGTGGGTCAGTGAGAACTCAATAGCATTGCACAAAAAGCTTTAACAGTAAAACTGTGTTAATAGTTACTTTCTCTTATCCTCTGAATTGTTTCATTTTTTATGGCCTGGAGTTCATGAGCTTTTGTGTTAAAGTATGACAGCTATCTCCAAGACAAAGTAAATTTATTTATTTAAATGGCTAAATTTTTAAGATGTTTTCTGAATACCTAATGTAGAGCTCTGTGACTTTGTTCTGCCAGTAATATGATTATGCATTCAGTCATTAGTATGTTCAACAGTCTGAACTGTTGGCCCTCTAGACTGTCTGCCCTTGGATGGGGGGCAAATTTCACTTGGATTTTTGATTTCCTTAGATAGTGTAGCTTATTTGTTTCTGTGCTAGATAACATGCTTTTTTCTTGCCATTGATGCTTTTTAGCATGGATATTAAGTGTAAACCTAATATATCTTTTCTCTCTATCTGTGCAGCTACCCTTGGATGTCCTGTTAAGGTATCTAATATTAAACCATCTCTTGAAGAGGCCTCTCTAGATGCAGAACTTTGTGGTGAAACTCTTTCTGAAAAGAAATGATCAGACAAAACTGGAAACAACTTCTTAAATGGTTCTTTAATGTGCATTCAAGCAAGTTAGGGAGCTGTCAAAAGCCATTCATGTCTGCATCTGCAATTCATAGTGCACTTAAAAATCTTTATAAATAGTTAACTAGTGTGCACAGTATTTAGGTCAAGCATCTTTTCTCATTTTCTAAAACATAGTATTTGAGGAATGTCACAGCTTTTAATGGAAAAGCTGCACATGAACCTTTTCTGTGTCTTCAAATATCTACTGTAAACGTGTACAAAAACAAGATGGTATGTATTACAGTGGGTCTGTTGTCGTCACTGTAATGAGAGCATTGTCTGTTGTCATCATAAACGTCTATTTCCGGGAGTTTATAATCTCCCTGTGAATTTCTTCTGTGTGCTGAAACAGAACATGCATCTTGACTTTTTTAAAATTTAACTACATTCCCAAAGAGATCTCTTTTCCCTGGTTTGGAGATAAGCAGATATTTTCTGTATTTGAATTACATTATATTATATATGCTGCAATAATTAGGCATGCTGGGATGAGTTCATGTATCAGCACTTTTGACTACTCTTTTTGTTTTTCCTTGTGTTTACATGTAACATTCAAATCTACCTTCTTTTATTGTTTAGTACACATGCTTGTATACAGATACTTGTATATCATCCAGCAGATAAAACTGTCTTTTATATGTTTTTATCAAAAACTTCTTTTGCTTACTAGAAAAGACAGTTTTATTTCCTTGCCATGTGTTTCTAGAAAAAGGTGATACTAAAAAGCAGGTTTTGTAGAATGAGAAATGGTTACAGCTCATCTGCAAATAGGTTTATTCTAAAAATTGTAAATATTCCACCTATGCTCTATTGTCATCCTTTCAGCACAGAGTCTGTGGAGTACCAGAACTCAGTGCATACTGTTCCAAAATACTCAGGATTCTCATGGCCTGGGAATTTTCATACCTCCCTACTTCCAATCTACTGGTTGACAGCAACTGTCAAAAAAAAACCCCACAAAACAAAACAAAACAAAAACCAAAACAAACAAACAAAAAAACCAAATCCAAAACACCAACAAAAAATCTCACACAAACCAACCAAAAAAACACAAACAAACAACCAAACCAACCAAACAAAAACAAACAAACAAACAAAAAAACTTACACAAAAAAGCCAGGAAAAATCTCACAAAACAAAAGGAAAAAAAATTAAACATTTTATGAGATGTAAGAAGCATTTCTAAATTGGTGGAACATGGAGTTATGGTATTATTTAGAAGATTTATCCAATCTAAGTAAATTTTATAATTTTTGTCTGTGGCATGACAAAATTACTGGGTTATGAGTACCCCAAATGTATGAAAATATAGACCACTTCTTTAAGTTCAAGTGGCTGAGTAGTAAGAATGGACTTCATAACTACAAGTTAGGCAATTCCTTTCACGTTTAAGCTGCAGAAGACAGCTTATGAGTAAAATGTTTAAGCAGGGCTCTTGTCTCCAGAGCCAGTGCAAGTTGCACTAATTACATTCACTAGTTACTAGTTACAGTTACTTTGTCAGAGGGTCTTTTTTTGGTGTTTACCATATAGGAAATGGCTTCAGCAGACGATTTCTAACAATGCTGATTAAATACCAAAAATAGGAAGGGTTTCACAGCTATATACTTCAAGTATTTCAATTTTCATACTGTAATTGTGTTATTTACAATGTTGGTCTTGCATACAACTGAATGTACCCCTGTTTACCATTTAAAAAGAAAACCTAAAAATTCAAGTATTCATATCATTCCAGTCAACCAAAGCTGTGGCATAAGTTTTTTATGTGCTTCTAAATAAAATCAAGGTCACTGGCAACTTCTCTCTTTTGTATTTTTTTTAAAAGCACTGTGAAGTATAGTGAGTAGCTGACAAAATCATCTCAGTGGAAAACAATTTACATTATTATAAGCCAGTAAATTAGAAATAAGCCAAAATTACACTTGGTGGTAAGGATGTGGCATAAAAGAAATGACGTTATCATTTTATACTGAAATCACTCCTCAAAAAAATAAGTGGCAGTCACACTGCAGTGCTTTGTGGTGTTCCAGAGTGGTAACATCAAATACAGGACCACTGTAAGTGCTCTTCTACTTGCCGTTGAGACTGACAATAGGACACAAGGTGGACTGTGCAGGTTTGAACCTATTTTTAATTCAATTTTTTATGCAATAGTACTCTTCTCACATTAAACTTTTTTGAACTATACATCCTATTCCAGCCAGATTTGGCAGAGGTCAAAGGATATGTTCACACAAAATCAGTGGTCAAAATATGACAATGACTCTGTGACTCCCAAAATATTATCAGCCTGCAATGTAGTTTAAGTAATTACGTAGCTTAGCATTTCTTCAAATATGAAGCATCATTAAAAAACAGACCAAGGCTCAAAAATGTGTGAAAACTCCTAAAATTAATTGAAATCCTGTTTTATGTTTCTTTATTATAATCAATAAATTTCAGTTATGTAATTATCCAAGAATGCACAGGCTGTTAAGGGAAAACAGATGTGCTCCCAAAGTTCAGTTTTGTAGAAATCCATATAAACACTAGGGAGGCATGCATACAAGAAATAATTATACATATTATCATATATTTCAAAAATAATGATCACACATGGAGCAACAGCATCCATGCCCCTGCAAAAACAGTTGAAAGTATAACGGCAGAAGACATGTAACAAAGATTTTTAAAAGCCATTTCAGTGCAATAGACAAATGGCAGAATGTAGGGATTTAAGACTACTTTCTGTCATCTAACAGAGAGAGAAGCATAATTTTCCTTTATTTTTCCTGCCTTTCTTCCTCATCAATTGACAGCAACTGTATTTTTGACAGTCCCATAAGTAACTTGCTAAAGAAAAAATAGAACTTTTCCAGAAAGTCAATTCTACAAGAAGCAGTAGTGTACTTTCTAGAAAGTGTACTTTCTAGAAGTGTACTTTCTAGTAGTAGCAGTAGTTCATATTTCTTTTATTTTTCTTTTTAAATAATGGTTTTAATTTTGCTTGCTTTTGTGAGGACAAATTTCATTGAGTATTTTTAAATGCTAATTTTTTTATTTTCTCTCACTTAGTCTTAAAAACAACCATCTTGTGCTCTGAAATACAGAAACTGGTGTAACACCAAAGCAGTCCAGAGTGTAATACTGTGAAAAACAGATGTTGAATAAAAAATAGGCCAAATATTTTATCTATAAAAAAGAGAATGTGTGAGTGTGTGAATGGCATCACATATGGGCTTAGGAGGAGCAAAATGCAATAAACACAGAGAACATCCGCATCATAAAAGGTAGAAGCTAGTGTAGAAAAAATCCTACGGAAGCTTAAATTCTGCATTGATGCAACCAGTTCTAAAGTGGACTTGCTTTAAAAAAAAACAACCAAACAACAGACTTGATTGAAAAGTTGTCACTGTGCCACGCAAATCAGACTTTACAGATCTCCATCCTGTTCAGTCAAAGAGATAAGTCACTGACAAGAGAAAACAAGGTAATTGGGTGACATGCATTTTGCAACAGATCCAGAATACTTCTAATATAATGGCAGTGTCTTTGCTTCCAACAAAGCTTGTTTGGTCTAAGTGTACCTGTCTAACCAGATCTCCTATTTCATCTCTCCAGAAGAAGGAATAACTGCTCCTTTATTTAATAAGATTATTATTTGTTGTACACTAATATAAGTACTAAAAATTTGTGAATCTTTTAAAATCTGAGTATAAATCCATTCGGACTCCCTGTGTTAGTTGTTGTCAGACTCTTGTTAGCTTTTTCATTTCTCTTTTGGGAAATGGCTGGGAATAGATTTAGACTTAAATTATTATATGTAAAAATTACATAAATTATTTTAAAAGGCTACTCTGGAAAGCATTTTGAACTCTATGAATTTAAACTAAGTCTGTAGACATTTTAAAGAGCACTCACATACAGCATGTATAGTTACAAATACTAAAAAGTAAAAATGAAAAGAGAAAATCCAACTAAGAGAATTCAAAAGACTGAAATGACATTGGATTTTAAATAGAATGGAATAAAAAAAACCCCAAAATACTGGAGGTTCCTGTCTTTTCTAGTTTCAATATTAGTTACAAGTAAGTAAACATGGACTAAAACTCTGTGCAGATCTAGACCACAAAAATTAAGAACAATGCTAAGTCACCTGAATACGTCCAGAAGAAGACAACCCAGCACGCAGAAGGGTTGGAAGGTCTGTCCTACAAGGAGGGGTGGGGTTTGGAGAGAAGGAGGCTGAGGGGCAACATCACTGCTGTGTTCAACTTCCAGAGGAGGGGAAGTGGGGAAAGATATGCTGAGCTCTTCTCCTTGCAATTTAGCAATAGGGTGTGTGGGAATGGTTCAAAGCTGCATCAGGGGAGGTTCTGACTTGACATTAGGAAGCTTTTTTTTTTTTTGCTGAGAGGATGGTTAAACCCTGGCACAGGCTTTCTAGAGAGGTGGTTGATACCCTGAGCCTGTCAGTGCCTCAAAAATAGGAATCTGGATAATGTCCTTTGTTGCAGTATGGCAGGGTGCTAGAAATGCTGCAGCCTTCTTTGAAATGTCTCCTTCAGAATCCGCTCAGAGTAAGGGCACAAGAACAGCCATTTCAAGTCCATGCACACACACATACTACAGATAGCACAGCAGAGGAAAGACAGGAAGGGTCTGTAATAAATAGGTGTGATTCATGCTGATAAAATTGAAACAATAATCAATATTGATACAGTAATTAATATTTGGAAATAATGATTTCCAAAATATAATTATATATTAAATATAATTATTAAAAGTTAAAGGTGTAATGTCAAGAAAGAAAGGGAGAGGAGGGGCTCCCCCTCTCCCTTCTCCTGCAGATCTTCAGAACAGGAAGAAGCAAGAGATAACTATTACTAAATTTAGTTGGAAGAGAGGAAAATTTGCTTGGACATCCAGGAAAATGTTAATTATATGAGATTTATTGCTTTAATGTTAGAACATAATATTGGCTTATATTATATTAGCTTTGGCTTACATTATACCAGCTTGGTGTGCATGTATAATCCAAAAGGTGAATCAAAGGACATCAAAGAAGAGGAGAGGCCTTCATCAAAGGCAACCCCAAAGAATGGTGTGACCAGCTAAAAAATGGTGGAGCATGTGTAGTAAAGGTGATAATGAGGGTGGAGGTACAAAGTGTGACGAATTGAAAATGGGAGGAGATAGTAATGACATACATTATAAAAAGGGGAATTTTAGCTTGGCAAGTTTGTACGTGAGGTGACGGGGGTCAAGCCCTGCCCTCTGTACCCCACGCATACCCCGCATGGTTATTTTTGCTTATGCGCTATTATCAGAGCCAAAATTATCCCTTATTTTAACCAAATTATATTGTCAATATTTCAAGTGTATGCAATTAAGTTTAATTAAAATTAATTAAAATTGCTGCTACATTTAATTTTGTTGGGTTTCTTTTATGATGGGATAATTGGGCGAATATAACAGGTCTTTGTGTGATATATTGCAGAGAGGGTTTATTGCACCCACTACGCCAAAGGGACCACAGACAAAAGACAAAACCATGCGGTCTGCACAACTTGACTATGGGGTCAGTGACAAATGACCAGAGGGCACAGGGCGGGCAGAAGGCAGGAATCTGTAGGGAGAATGAGGGTGGGCAGTGTCAACTGACCAGTGAGGGAGGCAATCTAAGGTAAACAGGCAGTAGTGCTGCAGAGCATCATGGGTTAAGTTTTCTCTATCAGCTCAGGTGGGGAAAACTCTATGATACGGTCTTCCAAGGCAAGGCTTTGGGGATTTCCCTGAGGGGAGGAGTCAGAGGATTCCACAGTCTTTCATAATGGGCTTTAAATTTGGTCAGCCCTGAAGTGGTCAGGCAGTTAAACTAGATGATCACTGTAGGTCCCTTCCAACTGTTCTATTCTATTCTATTCTATTCTATTCTATTCTATTCTATTCTATTCTATTCTATTCTATTCTATTCTATTCTATTCCATTCCATTCCATTCCATTCCATTCCATTCCATTCCATTCCATTCCATTCCATTCCATTCCATTCCATTCCATTCCATTCCATTCCATTCCATTCCATTCCATTCTTTCTGTTATTAATTGCCATACATTTTATACTCAACACAGGTATGCATTCAATCCAAAAGCAATAAGGTTAAACAAGGATCATAGGAGCACACAGTAACTCAGGATAAAAATGGCTTCAGGAAGACTGTGGTCCAATGTCTTGCTCAATTCAGGGTCATCTGTGGGACCAAACAATATCACTTAATCCAGCTTGCACTTGAGAGCCTTGAAGGATGGAGACTACACCAACTCTGTGAGCTACCAGGTCCTCTCACAGACATGTCTTCATCACTTCTCTTGCTCCTGAAAAATGCACAGTTTGATTTGATAAACTTACTTATGTAGCCTACAGCAACATTGGCAAGTATTTTCTTTTGCCTCTCCCTATACATGTGCACACTAAGTACAGATTTTGCTAATGACTGGTCCAAAATTTCACTTTCCCAATAACTTTTAGATCTCAAGGTGGAGGACAAAGTGTGTCTTTTCACATTGAATAGTTCCATTTATAGCTTTGAAGTGCTCTGAATCAGAGCTGGTACTAACTGAAGATCTGCAAAATGCACAAAACTCTAAACTCACCATTTTTTTCATATTCTTTTCTCTGTTTGTGTCCATCGGACAAAATTCACCTTGCTTAAATAGCTGTTATCCCAGGTGAAATCAGCTTAATTAGGCAAAAAAGTCAATTTGGCCCAGTAAGTAAATCAAGGAATGCTTTTCACACTTTAAACTTAATTTTTTAAACCGTTATATTTAAAAAATTAAGATGGTATTTTAATAAATGCTTTAAATTTATTTTTTTTTTATGTTTTAAGCTGATTTTCACTGTATTTACTGGTGTGCTAAGTTTTTAACTTAGCCAAATAATCCTTTAAGAAATTACCAAACTTTTGAATTTGGATGGCAAAAGTTGCAAGTTATATGGCAATATACAATATTTCTTTCTTTGTCTTTTAATATAAAAGTATACTTCTGTGCCACCCACACCTCCCCTGCACTCCCCAATATAACGTTCTTCTGCCACATCAGCCACACCCTCCTCAGAGTTGCTTTTCTCTTCCCTGCCCCCTCTCAAATTGGTGCCTTGTTTTGTATCCTGAATGTGGCTCTAGATTTCCAGCAAAAAATGTGTTTTCAAAATAATTGCTACAATCCTTCAAAAGGAAAAGTGAGTATTTAATAGAAATATTTGTCTCATTAGGCTTTGTAATTAAATCCACGTACAGAGAGCCAAAGAAACACAATGAGTAAATATTCTATAAATTGGTCAGCTTTCAGCTGTTGAATTATGTAACTAATGCTCAAAATACCACAGCAGTTTCCACTGTACAAATACGGAATGCAGGAATAGCAAGAAAAATTAAGCCTTTTGATAAAAGGACTCTAGGGATAATAAAACAGGAAGAGCTTGAAGCAGATAATAGAAATTGAGCTGTTTCCTGTGTATTTTACCTATTATATTGTGTTTACTTACAAATTGTCTTGTATTGTCATTCTAATTGACTGTTATTGATGTGGGAAGCTACTGATGAGCACAGACAGTCTAAGATATTGGTATTTAATATTCTGGCCAGGATGATGCAGAGAAAGTGGGTTGAAATGGTCTCTTTCTGTGTTGCAGTAGGACTACAGAGTTAATCAAATCTTATGTGGGAAAACAAAGCCCAAGTTTTCTAAAGTATCTTTATTTTCCACGTAAAATCTTAGATGCCTTGATAAACATTGCAAAAAAACAATGAAAGACAGTAGTTTATCTTAAAATCTTAACAGCATGATTACATTGAAAACACAAAATTTTGAAAATTATGGGGATTTATGAAACTAGGTTCATTTTCAAATATTTGGTTTGGAGTTTGAATACTAGCTTTAAGAGAAGTTTTCAGGATCTGCCTTTCTTTTGGTGCCTGGGAATTTAAAAGTTTTGCACCATGTTAATTCTGTCAGTGTGATAAAATGTTAATAAATTTTACAGCTAATTAAATACTAAAATGTCCTTCTGCTGCCTGCCCTCTCCTCCTTAGAACTCCATTTCAGAGTGTGACTGAAAACTCAGTTGACAGTGAGAGCAGGAAGATGTTGGGAGGAAGTTTGTTGGAAGAAAGTTGTGATATACTAATGTACATGATCTTACAGCCTCATTTATACTTCAGGACAACATAGGAAGATGGGATTTCCCAGCCAGTCCAGTGTAGCAGGCACAGGGCCTGCAAGGCCTTGGCGATCAGAAGCCTGAGCTAGGAAATGCCAAAGTCAGCATGACTAAGGCTTTAGAAGCCCCTCTCTTCCATCTTTCGGACCCTGCTATCTCCCTGCAAATCCATAGGTCACTTTCCCCTGACCCTTACTATTGGACAGTTTTCAAAACCTCTGTAGGGTATAAAAACCCCTCACTCTGCCCAGTTCAGGAGAGAAGAGCTGTCACTGGACCCTTCGCGGAGACCCGAATAAAAGAACCCTGCGGAACCCATACAGCACTTCTCCCTCTCTCTCTGCGTCTGCTGCGCGGCACATAGGGCGACGGCACCTGGAAAGCTGAAAGAGCTGAAATCACTAAAGAGCTAGCTGCAAATCACTATAGCTTGCCCAGGTTGCCTGAGCCCCCCCGCTGAGCTATCCTGGCCGGCCGGCATTCCCCGCTGGGCTTCTGCCCTGAGGGTAATAGCCAGGCCATAGCTGGCGCACTGAACATAGTCCAGTATTGCAGGTGTCAACATGAACCAAAGGAGTTTGTGTACTGTGAGCAACATGGAGCATCATAACGCCCCTGAACTACACACCAGGTTCCTTTTCTTAGACTTCTGCTCAACCAGATACATTTCCCATGTTGTATGCTAAATTTACTAATTTAGTTCTTAGAGTGCTTTTGTGATCTTGTAAACCCCATGACTCTTAAGGACTTGCAGGGTCTGTAATTAAAAATCCTTACAAAAATATTGGGGTTTATTTCCCTGTTGTTTTTTCTAGCTGAGAATTCCAAGGAACACAAATTCCAGGAGCATTTGGGTGCACAGTGGTTAGTCTGGATGCATATGGAATACCAACATCCTTCAGTGCAATTCAAGACCAGAGCACCTGCAACTTTCTTGGCAGGACCATTGGGACTAGAGGGAGAACAGAACATGGCCTTTGTATGGGGGTCATCCACGCCTTCCCAATCAGACTAATAATCTTCAACTGTGTATTAAAGAATTGATAGTATAGGGATAAAATGTTTCTAAAATTGTGGGATATTCTGGGAGGTTGGAAAGAAAGGTCTAGCCTGGTAGGCCCTGGAAAATGTTAGGCTTTACTTTCCTGCAAAACTGCACCTGTATAATCATTTAATGACTATGATAAATTATATGATTGTTAGATGTGATTATTGTTTAGTAATTGGATATAATTATTGTTTAATTTTAACAAGAATCATAATAAACTATGTTGGGAGAGTTTAACCATTAATATGTAATAATTAATATGTGTAAGTTTAATAATTAATATGTAGTTATAGGATCATAAGGGTATAAAAACGTGTTCATCCCAAACCCAGATTGGAGTCAGATTTGGGTCTGTACCTCTGACACCCAGAGCTCTTCAATAGAAGCACCTGTGTATAATCGTTCTGTGATTATGGGTTCCCGAACGCTAACTGAATGAGTCTTTAAAGACTCAGTTTCAGAAACAAAACTAGCTTAAGTCCACCCCTAGGCGTTTAAGAGTGTATGGTAGAGCTCATAACTATTATTAAAAGGGAAAAACAGGACTATGACATCAAACTTTTTCTTCCCCTTCCTTTTTATTTTACTGGCCAAAGCCAAATTAAGCAATTGTTTGCAAGATCTGCTGCCGCAATATCATCTTTGCTTGCGCAGCAAAATGCAATAGGGAAATTATTGTTGTTGGCAAAACCCGTTACTAAAGGTTTGGTATCTAGTCGGCGTTCAAACTTTGTAGGCTGCTTGGAAATACTACAGAAGTGGGTGGTATTCCTGTGATGAGAAAGTCAACAAGAGATGGTTGCTTGATCCATTCTTACAGCAATATAGAACAGAAAATGGCATGGGGGTCTTACTCTTATCAAACCAGGCTGAAGCCAGCTGAAGACACCGAGCTTCATGCCAGGGAGGGAGGCGGAGCTCGGAACGGCCTGGATGCACGGCACGGAGCCGCCGCCGCGCTCCGCCCTCAGCCCGGCGCCGGGCGGCCCGGGGAGCGGGAGCTCGCTGCACACAGCCGCTGGCAGCTGCTGCCGCGGGGGCCCCGCCGCGCAGGGCCGCAGGTAAGAGCGAACGAGAACTGAGCCCAGGCTCTGTGGGCTCTGGCCCTGCTTTCGGAGCTGGGTGGGCCCAGGAAGGGGCCGTAGGGCGGGAGCCTTTCGGGGGTGGGCGGTGGTGCCGCCAGCGGGGAGGCCCAGGGAGCCGGACGGTGTAGACCGCACCTCCGGAGGGCGCCGGCTCATCTGCGCGCTCCCGGCGACGGTGGGGCCCGCGGACTCGGGGCCGGTTGGCCGTACCCGTGCGGCGCTAGGTCGTTCTTGCAGGCCCCGAAGCCTGCCCTGCGGCCTCGACTGTGGCCGGTCTGAGTTGCTCCCCCCTGAGGGGAGAGCAAGGCAGGAGCTGCCCGGCAGCCCTAGGAGAGCAGGACGCTTGGTGGTGATTCCCATATGTACAGGGAAGCCGGGGAGTTGCCATGCGGGGCCTGCAGCCTGCGCTGAGACTGCTCCTGTGAGCTCTCCGTGCCACCCGATGGGTGATAGTGTAAGCGGTGGAGAAGCCCAGAACGTACTTGTTGCAGATATATCTAGTATTAGTGTATGTATGCATTTAGTATGCATAACCGTCTCTTCAGTTGCAGTTTAAAGCACACTGGCAGCCCCATTATCAGACAAGGGATAAACTTGAATGTGACCTTACTATTGAATCTGACAATGACAACGTGCACTGTTTCCCAGCCTTCTGTGGGTAACTTTTTTACTTCTTTGTAATAAATTTTGCATTGTGACAAGTAGGCAGACTCAGAGTTATGTCTTAATATTTACTGTATGGTCTGTGAAGCTCACTGACTGCTCTCGTGCACTCAAAGGTGTATTAAAGTGTTACTTCAGAGTATTAAACTTGCTGAGGTGCTTTCGCTCATTAGCAGGCATGTTTTTCCGGTTCTCTCTCTGCACATTTACTGGAAAAGTGTCTTTGAGCAGTTGCAGTGCTATTTTGAGTGGTATGCAGAATGTAGGAAAACAATCTCAGATCTTAATTCTCTGTGTACATTACTTATATGCTGGTTTATATATTTTGCCTAGCATAAATGTATTCTTTATTACAAAGAAAATAAAAAATTATGAACACTAACAAATGCTTCTTATGAACATGTCTTTGTTACTGTATTCTCTAGAGTGGGCCAGGATGTCATACATGTGTGCTTGCATAGCTGCATACAGAAATGGATCAATGTCAGAAAGCTGCTCCTCCCACCATCTTTCTGCTTTTTGTATATTTTGAACCATATTCCAGCTAAGAGGGTGTGCTTGCTTCAGTTGTCTCTTTTCCCCCTTGAGAGATAATGAAGAGCATTGTTCTCACAGTGGCTTTGAAGCAGAGGGAAATGAGGCAGTGGCAGTGCAATCACTGAAATTAAGCTCTTTTGTAAGAGTACTAACATTATAGTGTAGCTTTCTGTGCAGTCTCTTTTTTTTATCATGCTGCTGGCTTGGCCACTAGCAGTGTATAATCATATGCAAATGTGGTATGATATTGCCAAGTCAGATGAGTCAGAACTGATTGTTCCAGGAGGAAGATTTCTGTTTACACTAGTTGTAAGTTTAATAGAAATTTACTGTGAATGCGTGTACTGTCGGGCTTTTATTAATTGTTGCTCTATACTTGCATTACACTTGTTTTAAAACAGCATTTAAGTGAGGGAAGGAGCATTTGAGAACCAGGCAAACAACAAAACTTATAAGCCGTTATGTATATTACTCTAGTGAGCTTGAGAAAGTGAGCTCTATAGTTTGGATGGTATAAGTGAACTTGAAACTGATGCCTTAAGTTTTAAGTTTCATGTTTTCCAGATGCTGTACTGCATTACTATATAACTCTGAACTTCATATAAAGTGTTGGCAAGTTCTCTTCACACTTTAGTTAGACAAAACAATCCTTTTGCAGCCTGAGAACCAAGGACACCATTGCTTGAGCTTCAGGCTCAAAAAGTATTAACAACAGTGAATTGAAGAGAGCATTCTGGGAGAATGGTACTTCATAACCTGAAGCTGTAATTGAACAATTAACCCCAATATGTAAATGGCACAAAAATTGCAAAAGTGTGAAACCTTGTGACCAGTTGTTCATCTTGGGTGTAACCACAGCTGGGTTGTTGTACTGCCCAAGGTGTATCCTTTGAAGGCCTTTTTAATAAATACCTACTTTATTATTCCTTTAACACTGTCTAGTCTCTGTTTCTAGGTAGCCTCTCAAGGCATCAAAACCTTTCCACCAAATATCTAAATATCTGCTGCAGATTGTAGCAAGGTAAGACAAAGAACAAGTGACTTAAAGTGCTTCCATTAAAAAAACTGAAAAAAAACTAAATTGCATTGATTTAATATATTTTTTATAATATGAGTAGTTCTATTTTTAAAGTTTCTTTCCTTGAATAGCTGTTCCTAGTCAAAGGCTGAATATTGTATGATTTAGACCGATCATTTCAAAATAATGCCACCAGACCTGCACTAACTTGTAAGTATAGAATACTACCCAGCCTTAATTTCTTTTGTAACACAAAAACATTGGAGACCCATAGTCCCATTAGAAATCTGTTTTTTAAAGAAAAGAAATCAGTATCTATTTAGTGAAAACTGGAATACTTTAAGCACTCTCGGTTTGTTTGTTTCTGTCTCTTTCTTTTTAAAAGGCAGTTTAGTTTTCTGTTGACAACTCAGGTTTTTTGATGTCTTCCCAAGTGGGCTAACCTGAAAATAAGAACTTCAAAAATTAAACTTAGAATTTAGTTGATGAAAATATGGAAGATCAAAAATACAGAGAAGTAAAAAGGAAATTACAAGGGAAATTCTACTTAACTAATCCACTAAAGAATAAAAATCATTTGTGTTACAATATGCATCAGCTACTTTGCATGTATCTCACTTGTTTCATTTTTTGATGAGTCAGCAGAGTAAACAAACACCTTTATGCTGTCCAGGAGAATCATTTTACTGACCAAGTGAAGTTTTTGTCTGTGATTCAATCCAACAGGGGAGTCACTGTTCATGTGGAAGGCTCTAAATATTTTAGAGAAGTTATTGTTTGTTAAACACTTGTCTCTACTGTTGCATGGCAGAAAGATGTTAAATGGCCTTCTTTCCCACCATTTTGTCTCACTTCTCCTGCTTGCTAAGTCTGCTCATACAAAATTCATTAGTCTGGTCAGACTCTTTACATTACGTGTGTCTTTTTTCTTTGTAAATCATATTCTCTGTCATGCTGATCTGGTCTGAGGTAGTCAATTGTGTTGCTAGCTGTAGTTTCTCAGTAGTGCACTTATGAGGTCTTCGATTTTAAAAGGTAGTTTTCTGGATCATAATAGTTTTCTGTTTAAAACTGTTCATAACAAAAATTAAAAAAACCTGGTTCCTGCTACTTGGAGTAGGAGCATATTAGTAGAAATTGATGTAATCATCTTTTAAAAAAGAACACTGTAAATGGTAGTTTTATGTAAGCCATGTGATATTTATTGCTTGGTATACCAGGTAGCTGAATGGCTTACTTTTTTACCTGTTGACTCAGGTTGAGCACACTCTCCCCAATACACACACAAACTTTACTACTTGTTTTATAGGCTGTTGTTTTACATTACATTCTGAAGTTACTGCACTGATGTTATTAATTCAGTGATATCAACTCATGTTTCCTTAAGGTCTGTAGGATTATTGTGTATGTCTTATGCATAATTTTCTTGCATGTAATTTTGAGGAAGTAAATCTGTGCTACACTTAGTTGTTATTCTATTTGAATGTTGTCTTATGTGGTGCAAAAATTTCATATTGCCCCCATTCTCTTTTGCTTAGAGTAGTATGGAATTTCTTGTAAGGAGCAGCAAACATTTTTTTCCCTTCAGACTGCAGAGGGAATGATGTAGACTGTATATTTTACTCTTCACAAAGAGACAATTTAAATAATTAATGGTGTCCTGGCTTCACACATGGTGGGCTGTTTCACTCACTCCTGACGTTTAACAGATAAACATTTTGTCTTTTAAGTGCATTGTATATATCAAATAATGGCGGCACAGAGAAGGGAAAGTATCAAAACTGGCTTGATATCTCTGTTCAGTATGTTTGACACTTTTACCATTGGTATCACCACTGCTATCTCCATTCTACTTTTTCTTGTTACAATTACTGTCATTTTATCAATGTGACATATCGTAGTGATTCTTAGCTAAAACTATTGCCTACAGGCTTGGCATCTAGGAGGAAGAATCAGTTCTGAAGAAGAAAACATTTATTGAATGGACAAAAATGTAATGCTTATCTAAAAGGAAAAAGAAAGGCATGTTGTAAAATCACTTCAGATTCTAGCTGAGGAGATAAGTAACAATAGAAATGCCAAATTATAGAGAACCTGTTATTTTGTTAGGAGAAACTTACAGTAGTTCCAAAATAATGTGGACTTTCTACAAAGCATAAGGATATCAAGGAAAAAAGCTCTTCATTTTTCTTTTTTTTTTTAATACTGAGTATTTAAAGTTTGTATTTTGTAAGTCACATTTCCTTCCTCAGAAAGACAGTAAGTAATACATGTAACAGAAGAAATAACATTTTATCAGAACAAAAAAACCCCAAGATTTTGAGTGCACATGGCAAGAACCAATGGCAAGAAGTAATTTCAACAATAAATGATTTACAGTGCATATATTGTGATATCAGGCCCTAGTGTGTCATGCATGTCTGTTTTTCATTTGTCCCATGTTATGAGATGGATATGAATGGTATCTGACAACTTTGTGGAGGATTCAATAACCAGGAAATATTTATATTTCCAAAATGTGGAAATTTTGATGGTTTATACTGAAAGAGCTATCCCAAGAATATGAATGTATTCTTTGAGGTCATACAGTGATTTTTAATAGTTAATCTAGTATTTATCTTCATTATTTCTGTGCTCTGTGTTTTAGATAATTTTCTCAGGATTTATTGGGGTTGGGTCTGGTTACTTTATATGCAGAGCTTGCTTTAAATATACAGAGAATTGATAAAATCTTGTAAAATCACATTGAATTCTGTTTTGAAGGCCATTCTGGTAGGTATTGATCAATTGGATTTTCTTGGTAACTGCTACTTTCAGTTACTTTGCATATGTTTTTGATATGTGGACCAGCAGCAAAGGATATGCCATCTTGTTCTTAGTCTCCTTGCTTAGATTCAATTATAATCTTTAATTATAAATTGTCTTGAATTGGTATCACACTGTTGTCATTCTGTTTGAGAGGCAAGAAGACAAACCAGCAATGATCTGAAGAAGCAATCTTTAAACTGAAGTACTGTTTTTTTCCAGTGTTATAACTGATGCTAGGAATTACTGATGAGCTTATACTTGTAAACAGCAGTGAACATAACCGAAGTTATCGAATGCTTTATAACCACAGAAATGTCCTAAAGATATTGTCAAAAAGTTTTAAATATCTATTTATAGGTAATGGTACAGACACTCACTGTGAATCTCAAATTAGTTTATTTTTTTTTATAGGAGTCTTCTAAATAATGTCTTTATGTCTTTTCTGGCTTTTTTCTCAGATAAGGATACAAATAATTTTGAAGCCATATGGCAGCTTGAATAACTGGCATTAAAAATCTTGGGAAAGAAGAGCTGAACACATACATGCTGAGTTTTGGTCCTTTGCTTATGGAACTGGCCAGTCATTCCTGTCACTGTCTGGTAGTCCCCTAGCTCAGTCCCTTCAGGTTTTGATGTTTGTGACACCAGCTTCTAATGCTGCTGTTGCTTTCAAATGTTTGACAGATTTCTTCGTTTTGATACTGCTCTTCACACTGCAGCACAGAATGGGAGTTCTGCAGTTTCAGAACCTTGAGTACTTCGGCTGGACCTTGCTGTCTTGAAGACTTTCTGCTCTGATATTGCTTTGTACTGGTTTACAGTGAGGGTAATTATTGTGCAGTGAACTGCTGACTCCTTCCCTTCTGCATGGTTACTTTTCCTGGTCAATTGCTTTTGGTTACCAGAGCACATGCCCATGTTTCAAACAAAATAAATTAATTTTAAAAGTTGTGTTCTAAGAAGAGCAGCCTTTGTGTTACTTTCAGATTTTGAATGCCAAAAGTGCATTAAGATATCTTCCTCCTTCCTCTTCTTTAGGGCACATACTGCTGTGACAAATGATTTGTTTGTTCTGGATTTGTTTGTTTATTTGTTTGTTTTGTTGGTTTTGCTGTTTATAGATAATATTATTAATTTCCAACCTTGCAGTTCATCCATTTTATTTATAGATTTTCTAGAGTCACTTCAGTTTCTTTTAACAGAACAAATTGAGTCTTTCTGAAAGGTTCAAGGAGAGATTTCCAAGCTGCAGGGTAAATCTTGGGAATTAAGAGCAAGAACAGATACTTAGGTTTCTTGCCTAAAATCACAGGGTAGCTGAAAGTTGTAATGCAGAATTTCTGTGTACTGTGGTTCCTGGTGGTACATAATTTCAACTTCAGAAGCTGTCATTAATATCTTTGTCTCAGCAGCCTAAGACTCATCAAATATACTGTTTCACTGCTTGGTATGGTGTTAAAGTAGGAAACAACTGCTTCTGCTATTCTAAAACTGGTAATTGAGTGCATAAATAGATATTGAATACTGTTAAATGTAATGGGAAGCATTATTGAATTGTGTGGACTTTCTGCAGTGAAAAATTTTGGTGTCTGGTTTGCTTCAGTATTTTAATTCTTTACTTAACTCTTTTACCTGTATTGATTGATTTACAGAATTGTTAGGAAAGGATTTCTGGAGATCATTTAGTCCAACCCCAGAGTGCTTAAAAGCACACTGGATGAAGTGTATCTGCAAAAGTTACAGTACACAAAACTGGTAATGAAGAATCCTAAGTATACCATAACTGGGAATGAAAAGAGACCATATAAGACTAAAGGAACATTAAAAATAGTCTCTCCATAATGTAAGTTTGTTAATGGCAAATAAAATCCATTTTAGCAGAACTGTGGGCATTTTGTTTACTCCTAATTTATTAGCATAGGGAGCAGGAGGTTGACTGGGGACTAAGCAGGGAAGGAGAGATAGGAACATCAGACCCCAGTCACTTAAATCCAGGGTAAACCAAGATTATTTTGGTCTTGGTGGGTGCAAAGGAGAAATACCAACCAGATATCTTCAAGAGGTAAAAAAATCACAAAGTTTACTAGTGAATTACAGAAGGTGACGAACATTGTCAAATGATTTAGTACAACATGAAACACCACAGCACAGACATAGCCCACTGAACATAAAAATCCTTTAAACCCATTTGATATTATCTTCTGTGAAAAGAAAGTTAGAAGGAGAAAGGGAGAAAGACAGGAAAAATGTAGAAAAACAGACATAGCTACCACCTCCAGGGTTCCAGTGATGTAGAGCTCCAAGATGAAGGCAGGGTTAAAGAGCAACATGACTGCCTCATGGTCAGCCTTCTTAAAAACCCTTCCTCCCAGGTAGGTCTTTTGGTTGCTCAGCCATTTAGAATGCTGGGTTAGGCAGCACTGGCGGGCTGCTTTCATTGTGCCATGAGTGACAGACACTGTGGGGCTGGGTCAGGGTACCACCTCACCAACTCCCTACCACATATTCCAAGCCCCCAAGATGTATCAAAACAGATTTTCCACTCTCTGACAGAACATTGTTTGAACTACTCTTTCCCAGTCTCTTCACAGAAACAAAGTAATCTTATATTTTGCATAAGGCTAGTATTTTTGTTCACACACATTTAATTGCACACACCCTCTCTTATTTAAAACAAATTAATAAAGATTGGTCTTAGTGGGATTTGGGGGGTGTCTAATTGCAAAAGATGGAATAAAGTATTTCCTTGTTTGTTGCGTTGTTGCTACTTGGCCTCTGATGTTCTAAGCCTCAAAATGGCAGCAAGTAGTAGCTTCAAAAGTTTGCATATTCCTGGAAGTGTGTTTTAAGTTAGCCTTATTTGTGAAAGATTATTGAGCTTTTGAATGTAGTTTATGATTACATATAATGAATTTCAGTATTTTTTCAGCTTAACACTTGGATACTAAATTTCCTTCCTTTGTTGCCTTTAAACGTGATATAGTTATGCTGATTTTTTTGGTGAAGTATATTGACTGCAGAGCCACTAGCTATACTAGCTGACCTTTAGAGCAAAGGTGAGTCTGACAATGAAGAAAGCATGGGTTTGCAGGAAGAAAACAGATCACAAATATGACCTGTTTTGTGAAGTGGCTGCCACTGAAATGGTTCAGATGATGCTGAAAATAGAAATGAAAAGGAGGCTATCTGGTGTTCTGGCATCTGCTGGTATATACTGGCTATGATGGTGACCATATTTTTCCATGTTAGAGGTGATGGTAGCTTGCAGTGAGCACTTTTGTTTATTTTTAAGATACTTATAAGAATCTAATGCTATATTCATTAAACACAGTATACTTTGTTAGAAATACATTAGAATCCTATTAGAATAAAAGAGTGTGTGTTTGATTAATTGTGAATAAGATGATAGGTGAATTTTCTTGGGGAGTGTTTGAAGATTGCTGATGACCTAATCAGACAAATGTGCAACAGCTAGGATGCCAGTCTTTGCATTTAAAGCAAGCTGTCTGCACATCTGGAAGATGGAAGCATTGCAGTACACTCAGATCAAGTTTGGTCCATGGTCATATCTGAATGAGATCGTACTTTTTAGACATGTTTTTAGAAAGTTTTGTTTAATAATATTGTCAGTAGACAAATTGCAAAGTAAAGATGGGGGAAGGTGTTGTGGATCTGCTAATGGATGTAGATGCTCCAAGAGGTGAGGGACTACAAAGAATCAAATGCGCCAAAAGGCTGAAAAAATTATCCAGGAAGATGCTCCATTTTTGTGTATGATAGTATTCAAGTGTGGTTTTAGCTATTTAGAATTATCAGTATCTTCATGGTATCATTTATTTAAAAAACCCACCCACGATAATTTTGAAAGACAGACGTTGGTGATAGGTCTGTTATGTGACACTGTGCAGAGCTGAGACCAGGCTGAATAGGGAGGTACTGGTTATGACTGCTGGGTGATACAAAATTCCTTTTATGTGATCCTCTCTCAGCACCTTGTGTTGAATTTTCTGATCAAGCTCTGTTTTATTTTTAGGAACTAAGCTTTGTATTCATAATGGAAGTTGATGTGGCTGGAGAGTCCAGAACTGCCCTCTCCACCCTCTCTGTGCCCCTTGCAGAGGTGAGTTCTGCTGCCAGGATGGAAGGAGAAAAGCCACGCTGTTCCAGCACCCCCTGCTCACCATTGAGGCAGACAGTTGCAGGATATCAAATCCTTCACATGGATTCTAACTACCTGGTTGGCTTCACAACTGGAAAGGAGCTGCTAAAATTATCCCATAAGTGTATTGGAAATGAAGAGAATAAAAGAGATTCTTGTCCTAACTTGGGCTCCAAACATCTTGATTCAGGATTTTCACGTTCCTCGCGTTTGTACAAAACTAGAAGTAGGTACTACAAGCCATATGAGATCCCAGCAGTAAATGGAAGGAGGAGGAGACGGATGCCCAGCTCAGGGGATAAATACAATAAAGCTTTACCATATGAACCTTTCAAGGCACTTCATGGTCCCTTGTCTTTCTGCGTTTTGAAAGGTAAAAGAGCTAATTCAAAATCCCTAGACTACCTCAATTTAGACAAAATGAGCATTAAGGAACCTGCTGACACAGAAGTGCTACAGTACCAGCTCCAACACCTTACTCTTAGAGGGGATCGTATGTTTGCAAGAAATAGCACATGAGCTATCATCTCAAATTTAGAAATGATTTCTGATCTTTTGTTTGTTGCTGCAGAAATCCACTGTTGTACTGTATACATAACTGTCCACATTATAGGTAGTTTTATCAGCTCAGTGTTACCAGGAAGTAATTTATTTGAATAGTCTTGGCAATGCAGTGTTCTACAAATACTTGGAGAGAGAAATCTTTTCTGATCAAGCAGCTTCTGATGCAGATTTGACTGAACTACTGGGTATTTCTTTGGATACATTTTAACAAAATAAAAAGCTTTTGATTTTGGGGATTTTTTTTCTGTACTGCAACATCTAGTGTTTACAGCAATTCAACACTGAAAAATTTATGATGTCTGCTTGGTTGTTGCTAATTTTGGCTTGATATTAGAAACTGCTCTTGGATAAGTACCCAAGGAGGTTTTTTGGGTTTACTTTTTGTTTCTCTAGTAAAATGTATGTGTTTTTCTTACAGCATGGATAGGAAAGTGAGCTTGACTGGATGAATCACTTGCTATTTAAACAATCCAGTTCATACATTTTGAGACTGCGCTTGTACTGGTGATGTGGGTGAGATTTGTTCGTAAAAGAAACATTTGCTACTTGAATCTTATTAAATTATTTTTTTAGTTTCTGCATTGAAGTAATTGCTTTGTCCTTTTTATTCTATAAAACGTGTTCAGAATAAATCTTTGAGTTATTTAAAGCAAATTTTTCAGGAGGTTGTGGTTTGGTTTTTTTTTTGCTTGGGTTTTTTTGGGTTTCTGGGTTTTTTTTGTTAGATTTTGTTTTTAAATTGTCTAGAGACAGAAAATGGAATGTCTGTACTGGTATATTGGTAATGGTTTTGATTTTAATTTGTGATTTTAATTTCATCTGTAGTAGAAGAAGGTATCAACTTCAGCATTGCTTTGGAAATTTTGTTGACTTGAAGCACTGAACATGAGCTCTGGGGAGCAGATATTTTTCTTGACAAGGGTGCAAGTGAAATATTTCTTGTCTGCGTTGAAGAGATGATCTTGAATTTTGCAGCGAGATAATGCACTGGGTTACTTTTGTTAATAAATTTGTATCCAAATATGACATCAAATGCCACCCTAATTTTACTTCGGTTTAAAAATGAAAAATAGTTTTCATACTCTTATTTTTTTAGGTGCAGTCTTGTACTGAAGCAGTGCATAACTTGATTTTGCCTCATGACCTTGGAAGAAGTTAAAAACAATTTCATATTGCTTTGAAACATAAATTATTTGATCAGTTGTTTCTGATAGAGTCAAGATTTTTGTTTGTTTGTTGTTTATTACTCAGAAGTACTAGAAAGCACTAGTTAGTGCATGAGCTCTGGGAAATGAAGAGTTCTTACGCTGTCACTCCACAGTTTAAATGAAGGCAGCCCACTAGTGAGCATTTTGTAGTTTGGGGTTTTTTTTAGGTTTATTAGAAAATTTAAAAAATAAACCCCAATGTGTATTTTTCAAAGTTAACTACACTGGTGTAAATTTAATGTATTGAACAATGATCTTAAAAGTAAAGTCTTCCTATTAGTCTTTAGGTTGGAAAAGACAATATGGTCAGATGCCAAAGAGACAGTAGCATTTTATTCCTTAAATAAACTCCCTATTTATTGAAATATCAAATTAATTTGTATTTCTGGCTGAAAAATAAAAAGGGTATTATAAACAGCTGTTGTTGTGAATTCATTTGCTACGTAGGAGAATAAGAGGACATTTAAAAAAATACAACTTTAGACCAGGGAACATTTAAAAACAACTTGAAAGTTAGGGTCCTAGATATCTGTGAAATAGTTGCTTAGCTCTGTTCCTTTGTTTTGGGAAAAGGACCACGCATTTACCTTATGTGCCTCTTTCTGATATTGTCCAGCGCTATAATTGTATGGCTACACTGGGAGACTGGTTGATGGCTATATAGTTGAGTTCAGACATAACAAATGCATTGGTATTTTATCTTTGGTGATTTGTTTGTTAATGTGCTCAGGCACAGTCATGGTGTTCGCTTAACTCACACATGCTCGCAGCCCTCATAACATGGGAAATACTATTTACATTACATGTAATACAGACTAAGCAAGGAATTGTTAATAGATAACTTATGTTTTTTCTAAGTTTTAATACCAAGGTATTAAAGGAATCAAACATATTTTCCAACGTAATCAATTTTTAGAAGTTCTGTAGTGTGGTCTGGTTGAAGCTAGTTATTTTTCACCTTTAAAGCTTTACGTGCTAAATGGACACAATTGGAAGAGCTCATGCTTAGTCAGGATATAGTCAGGAAAAACTAGAAAAAATGCTTTGAATAAGACTAATTTTATAGGGAAGCTACAGTAGAGTAGAGAAGTATAAATAAGTTATTAAGTTGTTATAGGAAAATGTAGATTAAAACTGAAAAATGTAGATTTATTACAATGCTAATAGGTTTAAAGACAATGTCAAGCTTGGCAACCAACAGTAAAATGCACACACCTTTGCATGTTGTAGCGGGCAAGTGTGGGTTTATTGGTGATTCTGAACATGACTTTTTGCATGAATTGTTTGCTGTTTGTTAATCTCTTAATTGGGACATCGGTTTCCATAATGGGTGATTACACTGAACACTGTAAGAGTGGCATAAACATGTGCCAGATACACAGATCCTTAGAACAACACAATAATGTTTGAATTACCGATTTTTTTTTTCCTGTGTCTCACAATACATTGTTTTAGCCAGAACGTACTGCTAACTTTCCAAGTGTCGAAAACCTTCTGACAGATTAGATGGGGTTTTTCCCCAGTGATTTTTCCAGGGTAATTTTTTTTTTTTCTCTTTATTCCATCACAAAAGCATTCAGGGAAGATCAAACTACCTTCAGGTCTACAGAATGTGGAAGGCTTCCTTTCCACATTGAAAAAATCCTGACTGATAAACTGGCAGAAGTTTAAATTTCTTGCAGAGGGAGGGTTAGTAATGCTGCTTGCTGCAGCAATTTCTACACAGCAAGTAATCATTCTGATTCAAAAACCCTTTTAGACTGAATATTTTCTCTGATTGGAAGACTAAATCTTTCTTTAATCATCCAGGTAAGATGACATCATCAGGATGCTATAAACTGGCTGAAGGATTAAATGCCCAGTATTAAAATGCCAGCCTAATTCTGAGGTTGGAAAAGGCTGCCTTTTAATTCTTTGATCAGCATTAGTTAATATGAACCCTAGCTACACGCTATAGCTGAATAAAAATATCTTTATTTTTATTTTTATATAGGGAGATTTTTTAATTTATTTAGCAGACAGCTGCTCTCTCAAAGAATTTTTCTTGGCCAATTGGAAGAAACTTTTCAGTCCTTTAAAACTAAGGTGATGCCAAGCTTGGTTGGCTTGCAGTGTCCCTTTGACCTCTTAGTTAGGAATGTGTTTAAGAATTCTACAGATGGAGCAACAGCTGGTAAAGCTCATCTGGACAGTGCATAAATACCTGTCTGCAGCCACCACCCTTGTAGAATATATCTGTGCTTGCTCTGTATCTGACTCGCTTGACTAAGTCATCCTCGCTTCTTGCTAACAGAGGGAAGAAGGGGCAAGAGGAGCCAGTTTCACAGAATCACAGAATAATGAGGTTGGAAGAGACTTCTAAGATCGTCAAGTCCAACCTATGTCCTAACACCTCAACTCAGAGTCTAGACTATAGCACTAAGTGCCATGTCCAGCCTTTTTTAAAACACATTCAGAGATGGTGATTCTACCACCTCTCTGGGAAGAGCATTCCAGTACTTTATTCTTTCAGTGAAGAATTTTTTCCTAATATCCAACCTGTATCTTCCCTGACATAGCTTGAGACTGTGTCCTCTGGTTCTGTCAGTTGCTGCCCGGTGGAAGAGACCGACCCCCACCTGTCTGCAACCTCCCTTCAAGAAGTTGTAGAGAACAATGAGGTCACCTCTAAGCCTCCTCCAGGCTAAACAACACCAGCTCCTTCAAACATTCTTCATAGGGCTTGTGTTCCAAGCCCCTCACCGGCCTTGTTGCTCTCCTCTGGACACGTTCAAGCATCTCAACATCCTTCCTAAACTGAGGGCCCCAGAACTGGACACACTACTCAAGATGTAGTCTCACCAGCACTGAGTACAGGGGTACTCGGTACCTCCCTGCTCCTGCTGGCCACACAATTCCTAATGCAGGCCAGCTTGATTTAAAGGAAACAGATACAAATGTTGAACCCCATGGAAATGCAGAGCAAATAAGCTGCCTGGGCTATGGCATCACCCGAGGAACCTGAGCACACATGGGAAGTGTGGGCTGTTGGGATAGCATGGCTTCTCTCTGAAAGGAAACCCCATTGGACTAAACTTGGTATGTGTTCCCTGAGTGAGTCAGAAAGGTTACAGGTATAACTGTCTAGAGAATGTTCAGAAAGCCTTTGATGAGGGTGTTCAGCTGAGATTATTAAAACATGAATCTCAGCTGGGGTTGGAGGAGAGATGGCCAGTGCACAGGAGGCAGTAGTGGTCCTTGGAAAGGGAAGAAGGTTTTGAAAGCTGGTTGGGTTTTGGTTGGTACTCTCAGGACAAAATGCAGTACGGAAACATTCTTCCTTTGTGTAGTGGATTATAAAAGGAAGCCCCATTTTTTCATAAGTGTTTGTTAAAACTAAAAATGGACTTGTTACAAGAAATCTATAAGTAATCAGTAGCCTAGATAAGCTATAGTTTGGCAGTTCTCACATACTGAGGCTTGTTACCCTTATGGATGTCTGTTTTTAAATGTAATTTTTTTAAACTTAAAAATTAATTTTTCTCATAAATTGCTATCATATTATTAATGTCAGGTGTAATCTTCTTTGTAGATTATGATGGAACATGACAAATTAAACTAATTACACTGTATCTGTTGTCTTATGTGAGACTTAACAGCTCGAATTATTTGCAGCATCCTAAGACTTCAGCAGTTACTGCCTTGAACTGTGGTAATGGATGAAGATGAAGGAAATATTCTTGAGAGAGCAGTTAATAACTATTATTACACACTGTCCTGGATTGCCAAGCAAATTGTAATTTATTTGCCATCTGCATGGCAGTTAGGTGTTCTGTTAGGTGGGGAGTTTTCCTGATCTTTTCCACACCCAATCCTTCCTTCCGGGGAGGGACATCTGCTGATAACAGGCTACTGAATGTCACTGCATGACTGATAAGAGCTATAGCATGCCATTGTGAGATGCTCTGCCCAGAGGGAGGAGCCAAGCATTCCTAACTGGATATAATCTTGAGATTCTGGAGCACCCGCACAGCTTCTCTACTGGATTTCCCAGAGGAGCAGCTGCCTCTTCCATTGGACCTTCAGAGGAAGACTACATCCTTCTACAGGACCACTGCTTCAGCAGAACCACACCTGACAGTCCGGGAGGACTGCAGCCGCAATTCAAATTGGACTGCTACCAGCACCCTGACCAACAGGGTGTCAGGTTGTATTCTGACTCTCTCAGTTTGTTTTGGTCTACTGCTTTGTTTATTTTCTCTTTTTATTTTCTTCCTTAATAAAGAACTGTTATTCCTGCTCCCATGTTTTTGCCTGAGAGCCCCTTAATTTCAAATTTATAACAATCCAAAGGGAGGGGTTTTACATTTTTCCATTTAAGGGGAGATTCCTGCCTTCCTTAGCAGACACGTCCTTCTAAACTAAGTCACACACAGTGGATGAATCATCTTTGCTCAAACACCCACCTCTGTTGAAAATTTGTCCATAATTCATAATGGTTTGTAATGTTCTCGATTGCCTTTTAAGAGATGTTTGTGGGTTGAAATGTTTCTCCTGAACCTTGGATTGGTGAAACTCTCTTACTAGAGATTGAATTTCTATATTCTTTTCCTTCCTTCCATCCTTGCCTAAAGCTGAAAGAGTTGAGACTGGGAGTGTCTTATTATAGTGTTTTATAATACTGGGAGTGTTACATTACAGTGTTCAGCCTGATCTTAATATAACATTCAGTATATCCATGTAAGATCCATAGTTTCTGGTTGGAACTGCATGTTCAACTGAACTGCACCTTTAGCCATTATGCCCTTATGCCTTCTTATTTCACTTCATTGTCACTAGGCACATTACAACAGACATTTTGAAATTATTTTAATTAGCAATTGAAAATTCTGTTTTTATTTAAAATATTATTTTGCTTTTTATAATAGAAAAATCTAAAATTCACAGTTGCCAGAGCTTCTCTAGACAGCGGTGCAGAGAGTTTAGGCTTCTCTGAACAAAGATTGGCTGTACCAGGCCCAGGGCCTGCAAGGCCTCCTTGGAGGTCAGAAGCCTGAACTAGGAAATGCCAAGTCATCATGACTGGACCTTAGAAGCCCCTCTCTTCCGCCTTTCGGACCCTGCTTCTCTCTCTCTGTAAGCCTGTAGGTCACTTTCCCTTGACCCTTACTATTGGACAATTTCCAAAACCCCTGTAAGGTATATAAATCCCTAATTCTGCCTGGTTTGGCAGAAGAGCCGTCACTGAGAACCTTTGTGGAGGACACCAATAAAGAATCCTGTGGAACCTTATACAGCTTTTTCTCCTCTCTCTCCCTGCGTCTGCTGCAGCAGCACCAGCAAGCTAAAGAGCTGATAATCACTAAGAGACAGAAATCACTTAAGCTTGCTTAGGGTGCCTGCAGCTGGGAACTGCTTGGGAATTCTGCCACTGTGCT